GAATGAGTCCACATTTGGACTGCAGCAGTGAGATGAATTTCTGTACCTGGGCAACCTTTAAAGCTAGCACAAATATTCCTTGTCTTCTGCAGAACTGATCATCTTGGAGCCTTTCCACCAACAATAAGTCAACTACTAGTGTGGCACCTCTTGCTGTGCCCAGTCAGGATGACTGCTGCTGTTGGCCAGTATTAATTGCTCCACATTGTTCCAGCTGAATGTTTGTGCTGTTTGCATCAATAATATCCACGTGACTGAAGTCATTCAGGCTCAAGATAAAGCTTTGATTGAAAACCTTATACTATGCAACCGCAGTTTAATGTTTACTCCACTAGGTTGGAGTTGGCTGTGCCAGACCATTATCAAAAGGTTTACCTCTAAGCTTGCCATTTTTGTGAAGCTTCTTTATTAAGCATTGAAAAAAGAAAGAAAAAAAAACCCCAAAACCAAAACAGGGGTGGAGAAGCTTTAGTATTTTGCAGTAAAATATTTAAAGACTAAAATTTAAGCTAGTAAGCCCAATGTTAAGAAAGCAAAGGCTTGAATGTGACGAGTAAATGGAAGTTCCGGGATCTTCTTTATTATAGATGGACGTAACATACCAGGTAGGGACCTGGACCATGTTTTCTCTTGTATGTATATATAAGAAATCTGAAAGCAGAACTGGTTTGTACTAGAGACGCAGAGAGCATTTCTGTAGTATGATTGTAGTATGCTGTTGTCTGTGACTGTATGAGGTTTCCAGAGTATTACTTGGGGAAACAAGTTGCACTAATGCCTCAAGTAGCATGTCCATTTTGTAGTGTTTCCTAGCCAAAAGAAATATGGCTCAGTGAACTTAATCCTTTCATGTTTTTGCTTGCTGTAATAAATTATGTTCATGGAAGTGTAAAACTGAAAATCTGGAATATGATGCACAGCCATGATTTTATAACATTTGATGCCAAAATATCATGAGTTATTTGTGCACTTCAGTGAGGATGTACTAACTTTAATTGGAAAGTATTGCAATGATACTACTTTGGGGTGGCCTTTATTTAGATTATTTTTGCTTTTTTTTTATAATTAATTTAATGTCACAATTCAATTCCTGTTTTAAAAGTGCATTACCTACACTGAAGCTCCATGGGGGAATAGTAATAGTTTATTTAGCGGCACTGCAACATGTTTTTGTTATGAGGATGCCTTAAGTGGTTTAAGTGTCATAAGTCATGTAGCTGTTTGAAGGTATGGGATAAAGCTCTTGCAGGCAGACTAGGTTTGGCTTTTGTTTAAAAGCACACTTGTGGTTGTATGTCAGAGGATGTTCTACTCCTTGATCTTAGTAGCAGAGCCTGGTGGGAGTTGAGAAGCAATATATTGTCACCCTGAAAAAGAAATTCCCAAGTTGCCTTTTTAAAAACAAAAGAATCAATTTGTAATTTCCAAATAATAATGAATAAGTTAAAAGGACAATAAGAGGTTTTGCTCTCTCCATGGATTTTTTTTTTTTTGCAGGGCCTTAATATCTTGCATCTGATGTGCTACCTACCTAGCTGTGCATGTGCTCTTATCTAGGTTCATATGCAAGGTTCCAAGGTCTAGAATGATTTATGTGGATGATAATACTGTTGATACTGACTTAACAGTTAGTATGCTGCTTTTATTTTATTTATTTATTTATTTTTTTACAAAGTACGTAGCTGTGCAGTTGTGGTCATTCTTGACAGCCGGCTTAATGGAGACTTGCACCTTTCTTTCTATCAGTTGTATCCTATCTTGGTGCATTAATAATGCCAGGGTTTTTTGTTTTTGTTTTCCTTATTTTTTAATTTATTTTCCTTCTTTTTCTATCAATTCAAAGATAGATTTGAATTCAAAAAGTACTTATTTCTCTGCTAGACATGGTATTGAATAATCTAAGATTCTGGGCTTGTGTGGTTCAGAATTCTAGGCCATAGTTTCATCAGATTGAGTCTATAATTCCATTTCCTTGTGAATGTTATATATGTATTATTTTTGTTGTTGATTAATGTTTCTGATAATGTTTCGTATTTTAATAGTCACACCAGCCATCCTCAGGGTGCTCAGTTCCCTGAGCTGGATGGCAGAGATGGGGAGCCGATTGAAATCCCTATAATTCAGGAAGAAATGATTGGTGTCCTCCTGTTCCACTTAGACATACACAAGTCTATATGTCTGGATGGGTTACGTCCAAGAGTGCTAAAGGAGCTGTCAGAGTAGCTTGCTAAGCCACTCTCCATCACTTATCAGCGGTCCTGGTCTAGTGAGCAGGTCGGAGGGGACTGGAGGTTGGCTAATGTGGCACCTCTCTACAAAAATTACAGGAAGGATGACCCTGGGAGCTGCAGGCCTGTCAGCCTGACCTCAGTGCTGGGGAAGGTCATGGAGCAGATGATCCTTAGTGAGATCATAAAGCACGTGAGGAAAAGTGAAGGGATCAGGCCCAGTCAACATGGGTTCATGGATGGCAGGTCTAACTTGACTAACCTGATCTCCTATGATAAGCTGACCCACCTGGTTGATGAGGCAAAGGCTGGGGACGTTGTATGTTTGGACTTGAATAAAGCATTTGACTCTGTCTCCCAGAGCGTTCTCCTAAACAAATTGGCTGCTTATGGTCTGGATAGGTGTATTCTTTGCTGGGTTGGAAGCTGGCTAGATGGCTGAACCCAAAGAGTGGTGGTATATGGCATCACATCTAATTGGTGAATGGTCACTAGTGGTGTCCCTCCTGGCTTGGTGTTAGGGCCGGTGTTGTTTAACATCTTCATTGATGATCTGGATGAGGGGATCGAGTGCACCCTCAGTAAATTTGCAAACGATACCATGCTGAGTGGTGTTGATCTACGGGAAGGCAGGATGGCTCTGCAGGGGGATCTGGACAGGCTGGGTTGATGGACTGTGGCCACTGGTATGAGCTTCAACAAGGCAAAGGGCCAGGTCATGCGTTTGAGCCACAATAACCTTGTACAGTGCTACAGGGTTGGGGAAGAGTGGCTGAAAAGCTGCTCGTTGGAAAAAGACCTGGGAATGCTGATTGGTGGCTGTTGAACATGAGCTGTCTTGTGCCCATGTAGCCAAGAAGGCCAACAGGATCCTGGCCTGTATCAGAAATAATGTGGCCAGCAGGACTAGGAAAGTGATTGTCCCCCTGTACTGGGCACTGGTGAGGCTGCACCTTGAATCCTGTGTTCAGTTCTGGGCCCCTCACTAGAAGAAGGATGTTGAGGTGCTGGAGCAGGTCCAGAGAAGTGCAACAAAGCTAGTGAAGGGTCTGGAGAACAAGTCTTATGAGGAACAGCTGGGGTAACTGGAGTTGTTTAGTCTGGAGAAGAGAAGGCTCAGGGGGACTTTATTTCTCTCTACAAGTACCTGAAAGGAGGTTGTAGTGAGTTGGGGGTTGGTCTCTTCTCCCGAGTAACAAGCAATAGGACAAGAGGTAATGGCCTCAAGCAGCACCAGGGGAGGCTTGGATTGGATATTAAGAAAAATTTCTTCACTGAAAGGGTTGTCAGGCATTGGAACAGACTGCCCAGGGAAGTGGTGGAGTCACTGTCTCTGGAAGTATTAAAAAATTAATGCAGATGAGGCCCTCAGTGACATGGTTAGTGGTGGTCTTGGCAGTCCTGGGGTAATGGTTGGACTTGATGATCTTAAAGGTCTTTCCCAGCCTATTTGATTGTATGATTCTATAATTTACACTTCACAAATCCAGAATATCTGAATTGCAATGCTGTACATTCCAGAAATTGCTTTCTTGCTGTGTTTGTTAGCTGCTTAGTGAACAAAACTGTCTAGTGAACTGTATGCTTGTTAAAGCCAAGACAAATAGTTTTATTTACTGAAGTGGTCACAGTCTTTAAGCTTGAGAAATAATTGGGCTTTTTTTAAAATATGATGTGGCAAAAATTCATCCCAACATGATTCAGGCATTGTATTCATGACTCAGCAGGTTTTTTCTGATGGGGAGGAGGAATAAAGGGAGAGACTTTGTGTAGGCATGTACAAAAAAAAATCGTTGAAATATTGCTTGAAGGCAAGCTTTCCTCAGAAAATGATGACTAGGAAGGCGGTACATACATTCCCTCCTACCTGTATCTCTCCAAATACTTCTGAATAAGAAAGTCTTCATTATTACAGTGCCTTCTCTTTCAGGTCTTTTGGCAAAGTACTGTATTATCTTCTACACTTGAATAGAATAGGCATTATAACTGCACTGTTGGCTTTCCTAGACTCTTTAATTATTCTATATGCATTGATAGTACATGCACTTTTCCTGAAGAGTTTATGAACCCATTCCAGTACTTAAGAGGTTAAAAGGAATCTTTCCCTGTGTATGAGTAGGCATTAGGTCTTGCCCTAAAATGCTGTGTTAAGGACAGTATGGTGCTTGTTTGATAACACTAATGCATTCAGAATCCAAAATAAACATGGCCATACTTTCTGGTCAGTGTCAGACATTGTGGTCAGTCTAATGTGACATCCCACAGTTGCTTACCATGGGATGGACCAACATCTAGTATGAATTGGATACTAGGAAGTGGGAAAAGGTTTTCCTGGCTAAGAAAATGTTAAGTATCACTTAAGGGCTATGCTTTCTGTAGCTTGTGGTCAATGGCAAAGCTTCACCTTCTTAGAGCACCCTAGGAGGAGGGAAGAAGCGGAGCAAAGAATTTTCTATGAAATTGATGTGTAACAATAAACAATTTACTGTTCATTGGAAGCAAGCACCATTGTGTCTACAGTAAGTAACTTTATAAAAAATTAAATACACAGGCCCAGTCCTGGGAATATCCATGTTTGTGCAGCAGTAATTAATTGCAAGCAATGTAACTACTCGTGCAAGTGAAAAATGCGTGTAAAAGCAATGAAATCAGCCTCCTAATCTGCATGTTTATCAGTTTGGTTACATTTATGTAGCAGTCTAGAGAAAGTGAGGGCTTTCAAAAGCATTCAGTAGTCACTTCAGATTACAGTCTTTTTTTTCTGTCTCACAGGTACTCTGTGTTTGCATGTTAACGACAATCCTAGGATGTATATTTGGCCTGAAGCCTAGCTGTTCAAAAGATGGTAACTAATTTGCCTTTTATGTAGTAATATTTCTGAGCAATTCCTTTTTGGTTTCTTTTTTATTTGTTGGGTTTTGTGTGGTGGGTTTTTTTTTGTTTGTTTTTTGTTTTTGTAAATTAGTCTTGATATTATCAGAATGCCACCCTTTCTTGCTGCAGGAAGAGGATGGGATGCATTGCTGAAAGCAGTTTCAGTTAGAGGGAAATGAAAATACCAGGAAATAAACCTCAGGTGTACTCAGTACTTGTGTGTACTCACTTGAGAGGTAAACTGGCGCTCTGTGTGTGGTCTGGCAGTTTCCACATATCCCAGCAGTCGCTGTGGTGATGTCGCATGGCTGTCTTTTCTCAGTTCACCGTAAAAAAAAAAAACCAACCAAACAAAAACCCCAACCAATAACTTCTATTTCATGTTGTCCTGGAACATTTGTTTTTCATCTTTTCCAGTCAATGATGGTGAAAAAGTTGTTTGGTGTTTTGTTTCCATTTTTTTTTTTACTGTTTAGAATTGTAGTCTGAAAATGTTCCTTGTGGAATTCCTCTGGCTGTTTTCTGTCCTGAAAAATGCATGCTTTTTTCAATGATGAAGTTTCTTCAGGTGGAAGGTTACAAAAGATATGTTAAAAAATCAAGCTTCTCTTCGGGAGCAGCTATGTAGAATAATTTTAAAGTTGTTTGACAAATAGTCCTACACTGATATTTTTTTTCTTTTTTTTTTTTTTTAAACTAAAAATCAGGTTGTTAATTTCCTACTACAACTTGTTTGAAGTGTTTTTCCTCATTTTGTTACAGCTTTGCAATACTGGCTCATTATCGCATTTTTCTAATATCACACACCTCAAGTTTGTATCTGGTTTGGAATGACCCTTCCTGTGTCTTGAGATAATACCTTAATTATTGTACAGTGGGATGCAGAACTGGGGCTCCTTCAGCTCCTCTGATTTGTATGAGGACAGACATTCAAACAGGGCATGAGCATGTGGGAATTGCAAGCATAGCTAATGCAGTCTAGATTCTAATTAATGTTCATTTATAGAAAGTGGAACATTTATCAGACATGAAAATGAAGATCAGTGCTCTCTGTAAAAGCATTTTACTATTTAAGGCATCCTTACTGAAAACCTGGGTTTAAAGTTCCTCTGACAGGTCTTCCATATTCTGAATGACACACTTTTTCTGGTGATACAGAGAGGCAGGAACAGTTGCAAATAGAATTATAGTGTTTTGTTTCACTTCTCCTTCCAATAATGAAACACCATGATCCTGCTAAAGCAGAGCAGAACCCTTTGTTCAACATGATGAAAAAATAGTTTTGTTCAGTAAGAAGAGGAACTAAATGGTAAACTTTTCCTTTGGCTGTTACTGTGTTTTGCAGCCATCCTGTAAGTTGTGTGGAATGACTATCTGTGTCATTCCACATGCTGACTGTATTAATTTCTTTCTGCATGTTGACTGATGTGGGCTCAGCCACTAATATCTAACACTATTCAATATTACAGTGAAAACCTGCAAAGGTCGTTGCTTTGAAAGGACCTTTGGAAGCTGCCGTTGTGATAGAGATTGTGTCAAGCTTGGAAACTGCTGCTTAGATTACCAGGAAGCATGTATACAACCAGGTAAGGATGGAGAAAAGTTGTGGGGGTGAACTCTCCTGTTCTGTGATGTGGGACAGCTCTGTGTATGAGTATTGTTGTGATCCAGTGGCCATGATCCCTGACCACTTTCAGACAGTGAATGCAAAGGGGAGCTGCTCATCAGTGGGGTGTTTCTGACCGGTGGTCTCCCCCTCCTTGTGCTCTCTCAATTGCAGCACAGGTGAAGTTGCAGTGGTGATGGTGGTGCTGGGGACTCCTATGGAAACATCAGGGCTCTGGTGCAGCTGTTGTACACGAACAAAACTTGTACTTTATGCAGCTGGACTACATAGGAGCCGACATAGCCAGTCGGCTGGCTTTCTTATAGCTCCTAATGGGGGGAGAGTCTGTGAGGGACTGTACTGCTGCTCTCTCGTTTGGAAAGAGGAGAACAACTGTAACTTGAGGTCTCAGCCAGCTTTTTGTTCTCTGTCTGGGGGTGAGAGAACAGTGACCTGCATTGTCCCTGGCACTGGGGACAACTCCTACATTCTCAGGCAATCCAGGAATAGAAGTGCATTCTGCATATTTTATCTTTCTGTCATCGCCTGCGTGAAAAAGGGGAAGGACAGAGCAGCTCTGTGAAAGCTGCCATCTCTCCTTATCCAGCTACTCAGTCCTTCTGCATTGTTACTCCCCAGCTTGAGTGTGAAGCAAAGGTCATGTGCTGGCCTCTGAGACAAGGCAGGGTGACAAAATGGATTCCACTGGTGGAGAATGATTGTGAAGTGAGAAGCAGTTCTCATGGTTTGCCAGAAAGTAAAGGTCAGATAGGCAAAGGTGTGAAAAGTACCATGGAGAAACTTGACAGGGAAAAGTGTTAGTGTGGGTAGAAACACTAAGAACAGAACCTGACTCTTTTTTCTATTTTAGTTTTGCCTTAGTGCTTCATATGCAGCATTCTTTTCAGTTTATTATCTTTCTTCTCACTCCTCTTTACATGTATTTGTAAAATTTATCAATGTATTCTCATCCTAAAATTAGAAATTCCACTGTTGACTTTTAAAACCAAATGAGGAAACTAGGCTTAGATCCCCAAGTCAACTGACTGTTATTGAAAGATCTAAATTCTGTAAAGCTTTGAGTTTATGGAATAGTTGCGTGGGATTTGCTCTCCACTGTGTTTTATTACACCACTCTCTCTCAACCTAAGGAATTCTTTAAAACCAAACTGGAGAGTCTGTCTCAGCAGTAAGAATGGGGATTTATTTTGTGGTGGTGGTTTGTTTTTCTTGTGTGGTGGTTTGGTGGTGTGTTTTCTTGTTTGTTTGTTGTTTTTTTTTTGTCCTTTATTTAATTAGTCTTAACATCAATGGAGAATCAAATTCTAGTTTACAAATAGTATCATGTAACTAGAACCATAACAGATTATTCGCTTTCCCTCTCTCTCTCGCTTTCCCTCTCTCTCTCGCTTTCCCTCTCTCTCTCGCTTTCCCTCTCTCTCTCGCTTTCCCTCTCTCTCTCGCTTTCCCTCTCTCTCTCGCTTTCCCTCTCTCTCTCGCTTTCCCTCTCTCTCTCGCTTTCCCTCTCTCTCTCGCTTTCCCTCTCTCTCTCGCTTTCCCTCTCTCTCTCGCTTTCCCTCTCTCTCTCGCTTTCCCTCTCTCTCTCGCTTTCCCTCTCTCTCTCGCTTTCCCTCTCTCTCTCGCTTTCCCTCTCTCTCTCGCTTTCCCTCTCTCTCTCGCTTTCCCTCTCTCTCTCGCTTTCCCTCTCTCTCTCGCTTTCCCAGAAGTAAAGATTTACTGACACTGGTAGTTATTGAAGTTCAGTATTGCTGAAAGTGAGATTAACCACCTGGGAATACTTGTAGGGATTTCTAGTTGCTAGTCATGTATGAAAATCGGTGATTCTACTCAAACATCTATGTTTGGATTCCGCGTCTCTAAGATCTTCACTTAAGCATTCACTCAGCTGGTAAATTCATTCATTTTTATCCTCCTTGACTGCAAAGGCTCTACATGTGTTTACAACTGCTAACAAAATTATTATCTTCAAATTATACCATGTATTGGAATATTCTGTTCAGAAAAATCAATATGTATTAGGAAAAAAGTCTCAACTAAAAACAGCAATGAAGCTGAAGTCAGAGGTCTTCCTGTGAGCTTATGTGTATAGTCTCAAATAGTGGCAGAGTGATGCTTATACCTAAGACGTGCTGAAAAAAGTTGGGAGTGCCAGATGGTGACTGGTAAAAAAAAAACAAAAACCAAAAAGTCAGTGCAAGTCAGAATACTGCTTCTCCATATTTTCTGGGCATTCCAAATCTAGATTCGTTTGGTTTTTATCTGGAGGAGTTTTTTTGGGGAGTGTCTTTGTAGTTCACATTTACCAAATTTAACCCACATAAATGACCATATTTGAAAGGATTCTTTCTGATCTGTGGTATTGATAACCATGTGCTGCATAATTGTATTCAGACAGCTACACACTTGGATTATTTAGCCAGGGTGTTGAACTAGACATTTGAAGGTCCCTTCCAACCCAAACTGTTCTATGATTCTGTTTTCTAAAGTGCCAAAACTTGCAGTATTACCCATGCATGAGATACCCTAGGGTTGGTTTTCAGTAAGCATGCATTTGAGATGGAATTTAACATGATTCAGTTAATGAATTCTGCATTTAGACCGGTATTAATCATTGTGCCGTCCTTCTCTCTCATCTGTTTTTTAGCCCACATATGGACCTGCAATAAATTCAGGTGTGGAGAGAAAAGGCGACTGGAATATCATTGTTCCTGTTCAGATGATTGTGTGGAAAATAAAGATTGCTGTGTCAATTATCGTGCTGTCTGTAAAGGTAAATATCCTCAACAAGTTCCTACAGTCTCTCATATATGTACCCATATTTGTTTGAAAGGAGCAAGGACATAATGCAACTTCAAAGCATCCAGTAAAATGAAAAAAAACCTTGCATTTATCTATGAGAATGTACTGTCTTAAATCACACTCCTTTGTTTTAAGGAGAGGCAAGCTGGGTTGAAGAAGAGTGTGAGGACATTACTGAACCTCAGTGTCCAAAAGGGTGAGGATATTGTATATTTGCATAGCTCTGCTCTTTGCTTATGTTTCATTTTTAAGATTATTTTCCCTAATGTGTCTTCCTGGGACCTGCTTGCCTTTCTTATCATGGTGAAAGCAGCTGTCAGACAAAGGACACCTGTTCAGCCAGCATTTGGTAGCACTTGCTAACAGATCAGGTTGCTCCATCTCAGCAGCACTCCTGTATCCCAGCACTTGCTTGACTTGCAAGACATGCCTGTTACTGAACCCTGCTCTTTCACAGTTGCGTGTACTTTGGGCAGCTCTGTCTTGTGCCAGCCTCATTATTGTCCTACATGTGCTCCAATACCCTTTCTCCCAAATATTTTGGGACTCGACCAGCAATCTCAGGCTCCAAAGACTGCTTCCCTCGCAGTTGCTTCTGAAGACCTTTCCTTGCCTGTTCTAGCCCCAGAGCTCCAGACTATGGGCAGATCACTGTCTCAGTTTCATCAGCAATATTTGCAAGCCGTCTGAACAACTTTCTTTTAAAAGGTGTAAAATGCTATGGGATCCTTGTATTCTCTGGCTTGGCTCCAAATTGGGCCTGCTCCTGCAAGTTATGTATACACTGTGTGAGAAATGACTCATGTAGATAATGGCATCAGCTCTCAGGCTCAAATAGAACAGCAAAGCTCCCAGCCAGGAAAAAAGCCTGTGTTTCTTGTACTGTTTTTGCTGTGAGATCTTTAACGTTAAAGCTGAAGTTGACTGCAAGCTATGATTTTTTATGTATAAGTTCTATTAATAGAAGTGACTCTTGATTGGAGATGTTCCACTGGAAAATAGCTTGTAGATATGTTGTGGGCATGAGTTGAATTCAGTTATGTTCATGTCTGAGAAGTGTCAATAAAATCAAAACTATTTTCATTTTGATGATTTTGAAATTATGGTGTGCTGTGGATATTTCTAGTAAGGTAAAACATTTCAGCCTGTTCTTATAACAGTACTTTTTTTTTAAACTTAAGATATTTAAATCATGCTATACTTATTCATTGGGGTTACAATACTATCAAACAAAATACACTTCCTTTTGGAATATTTTTATACCAAATGAGTACTCTTCATTCTGATTCAGAGCAATAACACTGGCACTCCAGAGCCTTCACCAGGACAGAAACTGGAGCTTCTGTGCAGCTTGGAGTCCAAGTCCCGGATAAGTCTCCATGTAGGAGGGAGGTAGCCAGGTGCTTCTGGAAGCTTTTGTCATTAGCTCCTGTTCTGGGGTCAGGGACCATTCAGGACTGTTTGCTGGGAGCTGGCTCTAGGATGCTGATATCCCTAACACAAGATCGGAAGTGTTACTCCCAAGGGGTGGATAAGCAAGCAAGAGCCTTGTGCAGATTGAGCAGCTCCTGTTGATTAACTTGGTTTTTAGGGCTTATTGTTTGTTATTTCTGTTCAGCCCATGAAAAGAATACGCAGTTACTCTACTAAAATTATTTTAATCCTGGCAAAACCAGAAGTGTTGCAATAAAACCCAACCCAGGGAAGGGCGATGTCTGGTCAAAGTTGAATTGAGCAGTGTTGGCCAAAGCCTCATCTCAGGCTCTTAGCACACAAGCTTCTCCCAAAACGAACAACTCTGTAAATAATCCACTTCTTCCTATGGTGGGGTGGGCAGGAGTGCAGGTAACTAACACAGTGCTCATTTTCAGGCCTCAGGATAGCAGTTCTGACTCTGTACATATTAATGCAGCATGTTTTGTGGGTTAAAATTGCTGGTTTCATTCCATTTTGGGTTTAGTTGCATTTGCTCTTGTAGTGCAGAATAGATGAAAGACAATGCAGTATTCATTGAGGTGCTTAATCTGGGAAAGCCCAATAATTTCAATGAGACTGATCAAATCTTAAAGTGAAATACACACCTAAATCTTTCCAAGACTAGGCTCTGTGTTGTTGAATAGGATTATACAGTTAATGGGCTAGAAGATTTCAGGAGTGATCTAGTTCTTTCCACTGGTCTAAGAGTGAAATAATACTATAAGAATTTAAACCTGCTTTGGCAGTTTACCCTAGTGCTTAACTAGATGGTTTTCCTTGGGTTTGATTATGTTTCTCTGTACCTTAAGGCTCATGCTATTTATTCTGTGTTCAGTAAGCTGGAAGAGCAGCTGATTTGTTTCCTCTTTGCAGATATTTCTTGTATATTTGAAGATTGCTATTACACCTCGTGTTGAGGCTTTACATACATTTACCAGAAAAGAAAGCTTTGCGGTTTTATATAGGCAGTAGTGCTTGGGATAAGAAGTTTTGTGCAGTATGTCTAGCTTTTCAAGGGGACTTTCTTCTTTCTTCCATTTCTTTCTTCTGTTTTTTTTTTTCCTTTAATTGTGGTCTAACTTGCCTGTAGTAATGCAGGTCAGCTTGGCAGTGTGGTCTGCAGTTCTGGGCTCTTGATCTTCCAGGCTGGTGAACCTACTAGACCACAGCAAGCCTGTGTTTCCTGCACTTAGTTTCCATAGAAGCCAGTTTATAGGAGTGGATAATTACCACTGCATTTCCTTCAGTTTGGAGTCAGGATGTGACTGTGGCATACATATTTATCCAAGAGCTGTGAAACACCCTTGTCATACTGTTTGGACACAGCCAGCATGAATCACAGGTAGAAACAAAACTTGAGCCTCCCAGGCTTGCTTGTTCATGGTGGCACGTTTTTGAAGCAGCAAGTGTAACCTTGACTACTGACAAGAAAACGTCATGGAAATTGCTGATATATCTCAGAACTGAGCTCAGGTCAGTTTGCCAGGGGATTTTACTTGAAGCTGTTCCAAAGAGTGCAGTTCCGCATTGTCTGTCATGCTTTGCTTCCCTGAGCACAGGGCAGATCATTTAAGTATATGAGTTTCAGCATGTGTAGAGTATAGAAGTGAAATGGCCAGTCTCCCTGGTTGTGGCAATGGTCTGTTTTGCCAGGTTTAATATTGCATGTGTGAGGGGTTCAGTAGCTGGATTTGCAGACAAGCAAAACATGTACTTAACAGTTGGTTTACTTGTAAATGCCAAACCAGAAACAGTTGCGTAAAGTGCCTTTCTAAGGAGTTGGTTTTGGTTTTTGTTTTGAAGTTAGACTTGTCAGAATGTAATATTGAAAAGTTTGGTTTATTGCAGGAAACTTCTCAATGAAGGTTTTGAGATTTTTGCAGTGGAGGGAATCAATTTTATGGGGGGAGGGGTGGCAGAGAAGGCATTTGCAGAAGTTGCAGCAATCGGAATCTGTGGTACAAACAATACTTGTAATATGGGTGAAGGCAGTACGTGACGTTTTCCCTACTGTTTTCTGCCGGAGGACTTTGATCTGAATGATCTTGGTCTGAAGATCATTCATTTCTTCTTCCCCACTAACTGCCTTTACTAAGATTTTTCAAAACATAATATTACATATACCATAGAAATAAGAAGCAGTCTGCAAACATACTACCTTGTTTTATTCTGTCTGGGCTGTAGGGTAGGTTATGTAATGATTATGACTAATTAAAGCCTTTTGGCTGAACTGTTGTCCACATTGTTGATTGAAATTTTCTTAAGATAGGCAACCAAAACATGTCTGACTTATCTTCAGTTTAATATGTCATGTTTGACTGAACTAGGAGAAATAGTTCACTTATAAATGACTGGATTTTTTTTTTTTTGTGGGGTAACTCACTAAAAAAAATTGTCAACACTTTATAAATATTTGTCTTCTCACTGTTTTGGGAAACTGAAGTGCAACAAAGCTTTAAACATTTTCATTTTACACTTTGTAAACATAAAAAGGAAAACTGAGCTTGCAACTGGCATATAAAATACATTCAATCCTTTGATGCGAATCTGTATTTTCATTGTTTTTTGCTGCACTGCAGTTATTTTATTTTTTTTTTTGCAGTCTCGCATGTTTTCATGTCTATGGGTCAAACATAGGGTAGTTTTTCTATGAGGAAGAAATCACTGGTGATTATTCCTGTTCGCGATGGGATTTTTTAAGTATTTACAGTTGGAGAGAAATCGTTGAATAGGGCTGAAGCTGGAAGCAAGTCAAAGCTGGAAAACATAGGTCCTGTAGGTCCTGAAAGGGGAGAATTTATTATTGCTAGTTCCAGTGGAATCGCTTCTGAAGTTCTGTCAAGTTCCAGACAGAAATACTACTGCTACAGTGTTCCAGTCATAAGGCCACATTTTTCAGTGTGGAGGTTGGTAGTACTTCTGGTAGAGTAATCAAGTTCTTTCTGGTTAAATAATCTTTATAAGATAAAGGGGAAAAATCTGTGTTATAGTTGCTGATTTAATGAATCCTGTACATGAGACTTTGTTACTTTTTTTTTATGCACTGTGTATGTACATGTAAAAAGGTAACTTCTCCCCCTCTGCCAGGTAGATCATGAATTTTTCAGGAGCAAAAAGAATAAGGGAAAGCCATGGCTTCACATTTTGCTCTTTCCCTGCTTTTACCTTGGGGTGGGAAGCAGGGTTGGAGTGGTTGAGTGTTGCTCCATTGGGACTGATTTCAAGATCAGGAGTTCCAAACCCACCAGGCAGATTGCATGAACATCTTGGCTCATTTCTTTATGAGTGCTTGTGAAATCAGGCTCTGTGCATGTAATCCTCAGCCTTTTTGGGTAGGGTTGCTACACCAGCCTGTGAGGTGAGGGACTAGGTGGCTGGTCTGCTCACAGCCTGCAAGCCTGCCTGTTTTGGAAGATTTACTTCCTTGGTCTGATTTATAGTCCCATAATGAGCATCCCCACTACGTGAGGGAAACTTTCTTGAAATAAGTGGTTGGAAATTACTTCTTGGAGTCAGTCTTCTAATACTTCAATTTCTGCTTGTTCAGATTTACCAAATCTCCAGTGTTACTATTTTCATTGGATGGCTTCAGAGCAGAATACCTGCAGACTTGGGGCGGACTTCTACCTGTTATTAGCAAATTACGTGAGTAGCTTATTTGTCTAAGCAATATGATGATATCTTGTCTGAAAAATCAAGAGCAGCTTTGCTTGCTCTTTAAAATCCTCACTCTTCCTCCATGGAAATGGAAGTTGATGCTCTAAATAACAGCCATGCACAGAGAATTTGAGGTGTGGGAGGGTGGAAGGTCAAAAGATAGGAGAGGGCATGAGGAAAGGGCGCTTTGGATTTTCATTGAAACCTTAAAAATTACTGAGAAGCCCTTCTCTACTTATGAGGTGGATGCTTTTTGCTGTGAGTTTATTTCTTCAAAATAGAAGTAGACCCACTTTTTACTCTGTCTATTGTCTCGTATTCAGATGGAAGAGCTTTGGAAAATGGTAAGCAAGGTAGAAAGCATTTGATTATGTTTGTAAAAGAGAAGGAAGAGATTAGGAATAGGTGATATAGAAGGGCTGGTAGAAATGTGCTGAATCTGAGAATCTTTATTTAGCAACCATTTGCAGAAGAAATGAGAGCCTCATAAGCACATATTTTTTTCCTAGCTTTTGTAGTGTCTTACTTAACTTTCCTAGAGTATAACTAACTTTGCATTTTGTGTCTCTGTTTTGGCTGTGGTCTATAAAGAACTGATGGTATTTCTTGATTACGCCAATCTTCTTGACATTCATAAATTACTACATGGGGTGACTGGCTTCAGTTTGGCTTAAAAATAAATTGGTAAAAATACTTGCTTTTTGTACAGTGGTTGTTACAACTTGACCTGTTCCAGAGGATAACAACTCACAGATGTATTTGAGGTTTTAGCTTTTTTTCATTTTGATCCATGTTAGAATAATACAAGGCATTTGAAACAATTTCATTAAATATAGTTACAGAAGAATTCTGTTGCAGAAGACTTCTTGAGCACTGCAAGAAGAGGCTGGCCTTTGCAAATGCTTATAGCTCTGGCTGCAGTACAAGATAACAGTGCCACAAAGCATCCCTAGGACTTCCAGGCTGTGACATCCATTTATACATGTGAAGCTTCTGCATTCTTTGGACTGGATGCACTACAGTGCAACTTCTGTCTTTAATTTCTATAATAAACTTGTATTTCTTTTTCCACTGAAACCATGATAAATTCTGACCACTAATAAATACAACTAACATAGCAGCTTCTTCAATGTTGCTTTACTTCTCCAGAACCATGGAGTTTGTGATGGTCAAAACTTGCATTTTTAAAGGATTCTAAAATCAGAATGGCTAATACAGGCTTTGGACATGGCAAAATAAAGTCTTGTCTGGGGGAAAATATTTCTGCATTATGTCAACAATTCTACATTATGCTGGAGCATGTTATGTAATCTGATAAAAGACATTTGTGATGGGATATACTACAAGATCTTCAGGTCCCCTCCCTCCCTCCCAGTAAAATGCTGGATGAAAAGCCCAGATAACACAAGCTTTCTTCAGCAAGAGAAAATCTCATGAATGAAAGTTGGTGTCAGTGGTATGCATATCGCATGAGGCTCGGGCATGTGGCTTCAGATCTCAAGGCGCTTCATGTTCTATGTGTCTAAGCACTGAAAATGGTGGAAGGAGTCATATTGTAAAGAAACATTGCTACAGTACTTTACTGTGCAGGAAAGGGTAATGAATCTCTGGTACACAAGTGAGCATAATGGATAAAGTGCTTGACTAAAATTGAATCTTTTTGGAGTTCATAGTTATCCATTTTACATGTAGATGTTCAAAAAGAGACCATATATGAATGCCTATTTACAAAGAAGTGAACAGTTACTTGCATTAAGTAACTTCTCAGACTGCCCAGTTCTTTATTAAATTAGAGCCATGCTAAATCTGGAGCTTTTCTTTAAAACACTTGATGACAAGTCCAGCATTCTGTTAGTTAGAAATGTTCCCATTATGTAGTCCTGTTAATTCAGCCATGCCCACAGTGAAATTCTGTTGTCTCCTTGAATAAATCTTCGTAACTTTTTAGCAAGCTTTATTATGCACTCTCTCTCTGCTACCTGCTGAAAGGTGGCAATTCAGCGTGGAGCTGAGACGTAGAAATAATGTGTATGTATGGGATTGAGAGAAGATGTTTTCATATACTTCTTGGCTGTGGTATCATAAGTTTAAAATAAATCCTTCTTTTGTCTTAAGTTGTCTTTAACCAAGGCAACAAGAAGAAAGATAATGCTTATGGAAATTCCCAGCAAAACCCCCTAGGATGTTGGCCAAGCCAAGTTTTTAAGCACACTTTTCTCTTACTTTAAAAACAGTAGGAAAAAAAACCCGAAACAAACCCAAAACCCAGCTTCCCACTTGCCCCAAGGAAAACCAAAAAAAAATTCAGAAAACAGCCTTAACAACAGATTTAGAAGTGGTTGAAATGTGTCAAGTGTATTGCAGTAGCAAAAAGGGTACAAAGGACGATTTGAATGCATATGTGGAAAGGAATGTCTGTGTAACTCGAGAGGATTTACTTTTCCAGCTTCGCTTCTTTATATGTTGGTCAGCTCAAACTGATGATTTCAGCTGAGATCTAATCCAAAAACCCTAATGCCATGAGCTCAAATTGCCCTGATACAACACTTTTTTTTTCAAACCTTGCATTTTTATTTTCTTTGTATTTTATATAGTGGCCCTATGATTTGTATATCAAGATAAAGAAAAATTTGAGATCCACCCTAGACTAAGAGTTGATTTTTATTAAAAAAAAAAAAGATTGCAAACTGCTAAGTAAACAGTGATTTGATAGGTGACTGAGAAAGCCAGGGCATCACTGTGTTAGCGTCCACTTCATCTCTGAGAGCACCCAGGGTGAAGTAGCTAGTTGGTCTCAAGCTGCAGACTTGACTTAGCGCATACCTTGGCAATTTTGGAGGGTGTGATTTCTTTGATAATTTGTTTTTATCTATGCATGTTTTTCCTAAGGACTGTAGGTTTTGCTCATATGACCACTGAAGTCAGTCATTAGAAGTATGTAAAATTTGTATCATATCCTTTTAGTCAGCTTGTAAATGGATATAGAAATAAAAATGAAGTGTTAACTCCTAAACTTTGAAGAATAAAAATGTTCTGGAAATATTTTTTTTTTCTTAATGGATGTATATCTTCATGCGAGAAACTTGCAAGGGTTCTTAGAGGCTTTTATTTCTGTAATTTTGCTGGTTTTCTTTCTTCCTCTCTGTAGAGAAATGTGGAACATATACTTCCAGTATGAGACCAGTGTATCCTTCAAAAACCTTTCCCAATCATTACTCTATTGTCACAGTAAGTATTCCTGTGTATTATGTTTTGCAATATTGAAGAGACTGTTCATTATCAAGTTGTCTCCAAGGACGTGATGTATTTTTTACTATTAAAATAATAGGATTTCCCTTTAGAATATGAAACGGATTATAACTGATAAAGACAGTCATTATATAAAGCTACAACTCAGTGGTCAAATCTAATCTGATTAAGTAATCCAGTGCTTCCAAGACTAGCTGCAAGAATTCCTGTATAGGTGGAAGGACACATCACTTTGCAACTCCCCACCCGTGTAAATATTTCCACTAAATTGCATCTCAGTCTCTCTCTGAGAGAGCAGCCGGACTCCTTTGCACAGCCACTTTTGTTCCACTTCTTTAAGGTAGCTTGGCATGATGCAAAGAAGAGTATGAAATGAAAGGCAAGATTTAAACATCACATTGATACTGACTCTGATAGAGTGTATCCAAACCTGGATAGGAATGTCACAAAGCTGATCTTGTAAATTTATCCCCTTCTACATGTAGTAAAAAAAGAAACAGTGAGGTTTTCAACACTGAATGCAGGGTTGGATTCCAGCATATTCTTCTTAGTTTCATATGTCAGACTACATTCAGTCAAATATGATGATCTACCCCTTCTTTTTGACTTAGTTTGTCAGGACTTCTGATAAGTGAGGAGCACAGATTCAGGAATGAGATGTTTAAATATGTAATCCTCACAAATATCCATTGTTGAATATGCAACTAAGAGGCATTAATCATGCCCTGCAGCCATGTGAAAGTGCCCCTAAATACAGTATAGAGCTTTGTCTCAGCTCTCCAGGAGTGGTGTTTATCAGGGTCCTAATAGTGATGATGTTACATGCTTTAAAGTAAAAAGGAGCCAGTCTCCTTGAAGGCAGAACACAAAGTCTGTTTGAAACTACCTAATATCTGGTGCCTCTGAGCACTTTTACTGCTTATGTAATGGCTTTCGTCTGCTGATATGCAATTCTCCTTTGAAATCTTGGTTTTGGCCATGTGATGGAGGTTCAGCAGAAGTAGTTGCTTTGTCATTGGTACTAAAGATAAAACAAATGTGTGAACTAAGAGGTTGTCTTTCAGTTTGATCCCAGAACAAGTTTCTTGCCTTTTTTATATTTTTTTATTTTAGGTTTTAAATCTCACTGAGAAGCAATTAAGAATTGTAAGGTAGGACTTAGTGGCAATGGTGGGTGATGCTGTTAAATTTGTTAATTTGAGGTACTGGTAGAGTGGAAGTCACATATAGATTATTCACTGTACATACTTGTCTAACGGACATCTGTTTATATAGGTGGAAGGTTCTTTTTCTTTATAACACTGTAACAAGGTATACTTTCAATTACAGGGTCTGTATCCTGAATCTCATGGTATAATTGATAACAAGATGTATGACCCCAAAAGAAATGCATCCTTCACCCTTAAAAGTGAAGAGAAGTTTAATCCACAGTGGTACCAAGGGCAGCCTGTAAGTATTCATACACTGCTGAGAATGTACATTGGCCTGTTGTTATGTTACTTAATATCACTTGGATGCATAGTGATGTTGAAAGAGTACAGAGTCAGCCAAGAAGCATTACTCAGCATGATTAGGAACTGCTATACTAGAGCAGCAAAATGACAAATGAAACAAAGTGCAGCAGACTTTATTGAACTTAAATGTAATTTTCTTTAAGGAGAAAACTTGCTTTAAATAACTAATAAAGATACCAGATTTTGTTCTGGTTTTAATATGAAGTGGACTTGCAGTTAATTTTTCTGAGGAAATTGACAAACAAATTAGTTTTAGTAATCATAGAACCATAGAATAGTTAGAGTTGGAAAGGACCTTAAGATCATCTAGTTCCAACCCCCCTACCATGGACAGGGACACCTCACACTAAACCGTATCACCCAAGGCCTCATCCAGCCTGGTCTTGAACACTGCCAGGGATGGAGCATTCACAACTTCCCTGGGCAACCCATTCCAGTGCCTCACCACCCTTACAGGAAAGAATTTCTTCCTTATATCCAATCTAAACTTCCCCTGTTTAAGTTTTAACCCGTTACCCCTTGTCCTGTCACTACAGTCTCTAATGAAGAGTCCCTCCCCAGCATCCCTATAGGCCCCCTTCAGATACTGGAAGGCTGCTATGAGGTCTCCGTGCAGCCTTCTCTTCTCCAGGCTGAACAGCCCCAACTTCATCAGCCTGTCTTCATACGGGAGGTGCTCCAGTCCCCTGATCATCCTCGTGGCCCTCCTCTGGACTTGTTCCAACAGTTCCATGTCCTTTTTATGTTGAGGACACCAGAACTGCACACAATACTCCAGGTGAGGTCTCACAAGAACAGAGTAGAGGGGCAGGATCACCTCCTTTGACCTGCTGGTCACGCTCCTTTTGATGCAGCCCAGGATACAGTTGGCTTTCTGGGCTGCAAGCGCACACTGAAGCCAGCTCATGTTCATTTTCTCATCAACCAACACCCCCAAGTCCTTCTCTGTAGGGCTGCTCTGAATCTTTTCTCTGCCCATCCTGTAGCTGTGCCTGAGATTGCTCCGACCCAGGTGTATCAGTAGTAGTAAAGGTTTATGCTGTGCCCAGATTACTACTAAACCTAAAAGATGCGTAAAGAAAATGTTTCAGTTCAATCATACAGCTATGGCAAATTTTCTGATACCATCAAGATGAAGTGGCATGGGACAGTTTGGGTGAGTGCTAACCTGAAGAATAGCAAGAAGTAACTGGCAAAATGTAAAATGATAAAACCAGTAACTATTGTAACTGGTTTTAGTAATGTGGGTGGACCAATTTTTATTTTTTTTTGGGGGGTGGAAGTGTAGACTTTGCAAGCTGCTGAGAAGTGGTTTGCACAAGTGAGGCAGGAAAACATGCAGAAGGCAGACAGAAACCTGCAAATCTTGAGATCAGCAGTAAAATGAGAAGAGCTGACCAAAGTCCTACTTTTATATTTCAGAGTATGTGGGACATATGTCCTCAGAACATTCCTACCCCTTCTTACTTCACTCTTCACTGTTCTTAAGACATTTCCCCTACCTAGGTCTGTACCCAGCAGAAAGGGCGCAAGTATTTGCCATAATGAATTAGGCTGCAAGGTATATCTGGATTGCAGATGACATGCAAGATTGACTGTATGGTGTCCTCTACTTACATTTTTAGGCTTTGGTCTGGTGGTAGTGCATTTTCTTGCAGTTACTTGGTTAAGTTAGTGACCTGCACTAATGATGGTGATTGTTGTCCTGCAGATTTGGCTAACGGCTATGTACCAAGGTTTAAGAGCTGCTACGTTCTTTTGGCCTGGGTCAGATGTAGCAGTTAATGGAACCTTTCCAAACCTGTATGAAAAATATAATAGGTATGTAAATTCCTGTGTCTTGGATTAATATTTTACTTAAACTGTTGCAATAGGATGTACACCAGAGAAACCATTATTTCCCCTTCCACCACCCTGCTTTTCTAAATAGCTGTATGCAACATGTAAAAAGATAAGATGCAATTAACTTTGTTTCAGTATAACATAGATTCTTGTCTAATCATTTTGTCATTGCTCAGCAAACGTTTTAAGGAAAGATGTGGAAAATCAGTTTTAAAAGCAGACAGCTTTGAAGCTTTAGTGCTTTTCTGTTTCTACTTACGAACATCTTTTGTGGGTGTGTTTAGAGTCATTCAGCCCAAATGTCTCATACACTGAATAGATCATGGATTGTCATGATATTGTCCATGAAAACTGAAGTAATCTGAGGTAAATTGTTCCAATGTAAAATTACTTTCATTGCAAATTTTGAAAGTATTTCATATTAAGGCAGTCATATTTTAGTGATTGCTCTTCACTGCAGCTAAACCTTTTCTGACTAATGAAAATTCTAGATAAATCTGTCTATCACCTTTTATTTAATAATCTCAAAACTCGCCCAAGAAATCAGGCTTTTCACTTTGATCTTCCTAGGATTATTTCCTATACTCTTCTTATAGCAATCAAATTCTGATTGTCGCCTTAGATCTTTTTTTTGTTAGGAACTTGTACCTCATTACTTGAACTTGTATGGAGTAGCTGAATTACTAATTTTGTGGGTGCCTCATCTTGTTCTAGGTCAACATGCATATTGTTGGTCTCCTTGATATAGAGCATCTACTTTGTGACATAATTGAGAACTTGTATTCAAACTGTTTAAACATTTAACAAAACAACAACAAAACTCATATCAAAACCCAACCAGCCAAACCCAACAACAAACCATCCCCAATCTGAAACTTTTTCAAAATATAGTACAGGAGTGAAAACTTGCATATGATTTTGCACCTCAAAGCCAATTATTCTCTTTGTATAATAAACACAATACTGAGAGCTTTATTCTAATCACAGTACAATCAACGGGGATAATATTCAAGGGAGCTTTAGATCAGGCCGTTAACTTCTGTAGACTCGTAGGCAATTAGAATAAACTTGCATCCTGCTAAATCACCATTAATGGTGTCTAGTTGAATTAAAATTTCTTTGCTAAAGTACATTGACTTTGTAATGTGTGACTAAAATTTTTTAGCTTTTGGAAGTGCAAGGTTGGTTGATCTTCTGTTGTTCTGATACAGCTCAATCCCCTTTGAAGAAAGGGTGGTAACTGTTCTCCGCTGGCTGCAGTTACCTGAAGATGAAAGGTACATATGCAACTGCAAATTCCCGTTCAAGTGGTGTTGCAGTTAATCGCTTTGTAAATATTATTTCTGCTTCAAACAGTATCTTATACAGTATTCTAACAGAGTTAAAGTATTTAATGCAAGCCTGTTTCTATGACTGAAATCTGTTATAATTAAGTTACATTTCTCTATTTCCCTTTAATGTGTCCTTCCTCTGACAGTGTTGTTTCCAATATTTGACATCCATTGTTGAAATATAATCTCTTCAAACTGTCTCAACATGTATGTAAAATATGACATTTTTGGTACTGTTTGATATAGACCACACTTTTACACTCTGTATTTAGAAGAACCAGATTCCTCGGGCCATATGTTTGGACCAGTAAGCAGCGGAGTAAGTAGTTTTGTAGTTTCTTAATTTTCTTATTTTTTTAAAATGTGGATCTTTGCTCTGACTCTATAATAAACTTTCATGATTCATGTCAGGTTAACCAAAACCGTGTTCAGTATGCTTATGAGGAAAAAGAATTGTGAATAGACAGTCCATCCATAATTAACACTGATATCAAAGCATGTAATAAACAGCCTATTTAGTAAGTCTAACTCCTATTTTATTTATTTCAATAACTTTTAAATTGCAAAAGCATTTTTTGATATGTGTTGTATGTAGTTTTATCTATTGTTACTAATTCTTTATGTTGATTTGGGGTGGGGGAACCACAGAAAGTTTGTATACTTTCAATTTAGCAAGAATAGATTTTTATAGCAATGGTCCAAATTTTGGTGGTTAAGCATTCATGTTATAGTTGTCATTTGTTTTCCCACAGTCTCTGTACAAAGGTTAGGTGAATATTGGTCTTATCTCCCTGTGGTTAGATTTTATATGTTCTTGGAAAGAGGGTGATAAAAGGGATATTCACCCCATCACAGTCTGTGCTGTACCTACTTTATAAATAAGAATGTTTTTTGAGACAGCTACTATTTTCAGAACTGCTAAACAGCACTACCTTTTAATAAACCACAGTGAAAAATGCAAAGGAAAAAGCTCCTGGAAATTCAGGAACTTTGTAAAATTCTCTTGTCTTGAATGGTCAGGAAGTTTGGGCATCTTAATCCGGTATTTAACCTCAGTGGTGACAACAGTAGAAACCTCTTGCCAATTTCGAAGGTATTAATGGTTACTGTTTCTTTAAGGAACTGAAAGGTGAGTGTAAGTGCTCAGTGAAGTATCAGACAACTAATTAGAACTGCAGTATAGGGAAAGCGTTGAAATTGATTATAGTTTTCTTTGACTAATAAGTGGATCTGAAGTTCTGTATGTCAGGAATGCTTTGGAGAAAAAGATCCTGAGGGTTTGAACATAGTCTCCCCAGGAGCATCTCATCTTTGTTCACATAAACCCAGACAGCTTATACAAGTAGCATAATGAGGTAACAGAATAACTTAATTAAAAAGTACTTTTTTTTGGGCACTGTTTACTTGGCAAGTATTCAAAAGTAGCTCCAGTGGCTGTACCTGTGCAAATGAGCTTGAACGCCAGACCCCTGATCATGAACAAGGCTAGGCTGGTAGTTTGTTCTAGGCTTTTTCAGTCCCTTTAAAATAATTTGAGACTGATATCCAGTCACAATTTCAAGGACAGTTTACTCCAGGGTTTCTCTCAACAGGGATTCTGAGGAAGAGTACTGAGGCTTGGCTTCCTCTATTCTCTTCAGCCCTCTGGTGTTCTCCCATCAGCATCTGCACTCTTAGGCAAGACATTCCATGTTGCTCTTGGTTGTACCCCTCATAATGCAATAAACATCCTTTATTTCATACTTTTAAAACCACCCAAACCACCCTCACTGGCTATAACGTGGGAGTTGCTGCAGTTTTAGGTCCCCTGTGTCCTTCATACATATCTGGACTGCATCTAGCTTTGAAGTCTGTAAGAAGAGCTCCTTGTTCTTTATTAGCACAAACTGTTACAGTTAAAATTTATTCACTCTCTAGAAATAAATTCAATTCTTAATTGAAGTGTTAACACTTACTTTACGTTCCAATTTTGCCCTACAGGTCATTATGGCATTACAGAGAGTGGACAACATAGTAGGGATGCTGATGGATGGTCTCAAGCAAATGAACTTGCATAAATGCCTGAACATTATTTTCATATCAGATCATGGTAAATTAAATTTTATAAAATAGATCAGAATTTAATACTTGCTTTTATAATAATATTCTGAGTTTATACTTGCATGTTTCTGGCAAGGTTAATGATGCAGCCAATACCTGTAGAAATTATGCTCTGTACTATCAAGATCATGCAAGAGATAATCGGTGTAGGTGAGAATCAGACTATTTTGGCCTCAACAAGGTTTTTCTACACTGGTATTCCCATTTTTAAATGAACTTTATTTCCCTTTGCAGGGATGGAAGCAGGGAGCTGCAGAAAAACAGCATATCTGAACAGCTATCTGGACAATGTTCAAGATTTCATGGTAGTACCTGGTCCTGCAGCTCGCCTAAGACCTAATAATGTTCCAGATGAGTATTTCTCTTGTATGTAATTGCTAAACTAATTTTTGTTACTTGGTTATACACTTTTGTACTTTATGAATACAGTCTTAGGATTCATATATTCCATTGGTAAACCTGAGTGGAGGTCAACTAGGTACAACCTGGGTAATGATGAAGAGGAAATAAGAAGTAGTGCACCTGTGTTTTTTAAAGGCTGGGCTGAAAGTTCATTTGAATCCTACAGGTTGCTTTTGGTGGCTGCCTCGGAGTGACCAACTGCAAATGCTTTTGCCTTGTGAATGGCATTCCTTTGAACTAGATCTTCGGTGCTCAAGACAGCCCAAAAATGCCCCCCTCATGTTTCACCTCATTTTCTGATTTACCAGTTTATATATGAATTTGCTGTATTTCTGTCTTAAAGGAATGTTAGACTGTTACTATCTTTTACATATAAAAAAAAATGGTCAAATGGCCTGACAGCAGCTGAGTAAACTACACATAAGCATAAATAAGAAAATAAGCCTGAATAAAAATCAATGAATGCTTTAAAAATTTTAAACTTTGATTCATAGAATTCTAGAATCACAGAATGGTTTGGGTTGGGAGGGAAATCAAAGATCATCTAGTTCTAACCCCCTTGCCATGGGCAGCAACACCTTCCACTAGACCAGGTTGCTCAAAGCCTCATCCAACCCATGCAGTCTCATTTTAGATGAACACTTAATGCCTGCTGGTTTTAATACTTTTTAATGTTGGATACAGGTGTTCCCTTCACACCTGATAGTTTTTTTTTTGTCTATCTAGGTTATTCTTCTCCATGCCCTTTAAAAGTTGTAGACCTCAACCCCAGTGACTTTAAGTCCTGTTTACTTTATTGCTTGATGCTATTCCAGATTGGTTTAAATGTTTCCTTGGAGAGATGGGAGTTCTCAAATGCAGTTACAGGTTCTCCCTGGAGAAACAAGTTCAGGAAGAAGAAAAGCAGAGCATCTCCTGCTTTTGAAATGTGCACTGTTTTCACGAAGGAGCATAAGTTGTCTTTGTAAAACTGCATATATCTATGTAGGAGTTATTAATAGTTTCCTTGCCAGTGTGATCCTTTACATGCTTTGAGTATCAGACTCAGGACAGAGTAACTGTGTGAAATGTAATGGGCCTGTGTTATACAAAATGTCAAACTAAATGATGTAATGGTCCTTTTTGATTTGAGTCTAAGTATCTGGATCTCAGCCAGCTTGCACTTGGCTATCTTTCTAAGGATGCTTGCCAGATAAAACTGCTGCCCTGGTTGTTATATTTGTTTCTTTTTGCTTAGAAGTTTATTAGCAAGAAGGAAAAACCCAGCTTGGTTAGTGCAGCATTTAGTTGCCTCTTTTGTGAAAATGTACTTCTTGGATTATTTTTCTAACTGTGGCTAACATAGTTTAAAATTTTAAATCTTTCAATAAGTAAGCAAGGGGAGGAGAACTGTGAACTAGAAGCTCATAAAAGCAGTAGCATGACAGTTTAGTGATTGTTTTGTTCCATGTGGTTTTCATTCTGGAAAAATAACTTCTTATGTCCAGATTTTTTTTGAAACTCAAGCCAATTATATGATGTGATGGGAATGCTTTCATTTTACATCTGATTTTTTTTTTTAACTTAGGTGTCTAATTCTTACATATGATTCTTCCAGTTAATTATGAAGGCATTGTCAGAAACCTCACAGTAAGTGTCTTTGTGTTTGTTGTTCTAGCTTAATTTCTATTGACGTTTACAGTATTTTATAGCATCAGCTGTTTGCTGGGCTACTTGCATAGCATATGGACTTTGAATTGGTGACCTTCCATACGCAATGCAGTTAACAACAAAAGTAGTTCCACTCAGGGGAAGGTCAAAGTTGAGTAAGGTGTCATATGGCTTTTTGGTTGTGCATTAACTAGGGTTTTGTGCTCAACTCTTTTCACTAACTGTATCATGTTGCTCTTCAAACTGAGAACTTGTGTATCTGGACCATACTGGCTGAGGGCCAAGTCAGTGTAAAGCTCAGCTCCATTTCCTGGACAAGCATGAGATTTTCTTGCCCACACCTTTTAGATAAACAGCTTTGAGAGAGGTTATAGATTTTTTTTCCCTTATTTTTTTTTTTTTCCTTCATCTTCAGAAACTTGCTTTTCTGCTCTATACCTGTTCTTAATGCCTGCACCACAATCAGTTTGCCACTCGGTTGTGCAGACACTGCTGGTGGTGAGAGCAGTGCTGTTTGTATAGATACTTCACTTTTCAAAAATTCCAATATTACAGTAGAGGTTTTTGTTTGGTGTTTTTCTTTTTGTGTGTGTTTGTGGGTATTTTCTTTTTTTTTTTTTTTTGTTTTGGGGGTGGTTTTTGTTTTTTAAATCATTAATGGATCTTGGTGGAAAAATCTATTTGTCCCTGAGGGATCAATCTGAAAACCCTTTGAATGTCTGTTATTTTCTGTATTGCAGAGAGGTAGAATTATTGCAGTGGATAGTCTACAACTTGTGAATGTATCATGATGTTCATATTTTGGTGTAAATCTTCATTAATTCTAATCCATACTGTTTGGTTCTGTATAATTTTCTGTAAAAAAAGAAGTTGTGTCCATAATCCAATGTAAATATTATTCCAATAACTACTGAATGCAAAACCAGACAGTATTTGTTATTTAAATGGTTATTAGTCGTGTCCCCAGACCATAAGAATCTAAACCTGACAGAGTCCTGTTGTCCTTAGTGGAAGTTATTGCAGGACCTTTGCTATTGAAGTGCATTGTAAGAACTGTTCATGACATAAGCAGAAGTTTGGTGAAGCATACATTTTATACGTTAAATTTTTCAGTGCCTAGAACCAAATCAGCCTTTCAAAGCTTACATGAAACAGATGCTACCCAAACGTTTCCATTATTCATATAATGACCGGATTGAACCATTGCACTTCTATTTAGACTCCCAATGGCAGCTTGCTAGGTAAGTTACAGTTTTCAGTACTTGATTATACAGTAAATAATTTAATAATTTCTTGTTTTCTCATAGCATTTCTCTTCCAAATGCTATTCTCTTCTAATAACTATCAGTGATAGCTATTAAAGCATGGTATTCTTGTTTGTCATAGCAAAAGGACATTGCAAAGAAACAGTGCATACTTCAAATGTTAGAAACTTTTTCAGATACTTGAGCATGCCTTGCCATGCTTTAGGAATTTTCAAAGTGAGTGTTGAAAGCTAAGCATGTGCTTAACTACTTAGTTGAATCAGTCTTTTGAATGATCCACTGGAATGTATTGAATTTACTGGGCCTGCTATTATTAGTTACATGTTCTGACCAATGACTTTACAAGTCCCAGAACAATAGCATCTGCTATAATAATAGAATTTTGAGCACCTCTGTTCAAAAACCAAAAGGGTTTCAGTCTGCGTATTCAGTAAGTCCTGTTGTCTAACACTGTGAGCAAGTTTTTATTAAAAACCAAAGAAATATTAAGAATCTATTTGTATGAAGTACTGTGAAGTTCTGTTACCTGAATGACAGTGAAAATCTGTTACCCTAAGAACAAGCATTTTGCTTATCTGTAATCTGATATTTGGCTTTAAATTACTCTGAACATTTGCGAATTCCAAAGGGATAACATTTGCTGAGGAAACTATCTGCAGATAACATTTGCAGAAGAAGTTATTTTCAAGGCATTCTTTTCCAGAGCTTTCTATTCTTTCTAAAGACTTTCTATTCCCTATGGACAAGCCTTTAAGAATCTTTAAATAGATACATGGACAGTGCATTACTGAATGCGGTTTATACTGATATGATTTATAAAGTGTGAGTTACAGAAACTGTGAATTTTTAATAGGAAACCGCTTGAGATTAAAAGATGTACAGGTGGATTCCATGGTTCAGACAATCGCTTCCCCAGTATGCAGGTGAGACTTAAACTTACGCTAGCTCTTATTTTTAGCTCCTTTTATTTCCGAATGTTGTGTTTGCTGGGTGTGAGACTTAAGTTTTTAAAGATATGTAACATTATTCCATCTGCAAATAAAGAAATCAAGCATTTGTAGCATTCCTATTACGATGTGCTGGGTAACCAACAGAGGGTGGGATTCCACTGTCATAAGATTTGGGCAAAAACCCAACAGGACTTACCCCAGAGATTTCACTGTACTGTTAAGAGTCAAAATTGCACCATTTTGGTTGGTTGTAACATTAAAAGCAGGAAAAGAGAGAACTTATCGAATCGTCAACACAGTAATTGTAGGTCTTAAGAGAATTCAGATTGGAAGACCTCAGGAGGTCCCTAGTCCCACCTCTACTTAAAACACAGTCAGCTGTGAGATCACACCACGTTACTCAGGCTTTACCCAGTTGTCTTTGAAACTGCTAAGGATAGAGGCTCTACAGCTTCTAACCAACTCATTCCATTGCCCGACTGTTCTCCTTTTGTAAATCTGTTTAGTTATAGCCAGCCAGAACCTTTCTTATTTCAGTTTATGCCTATTGTGTCTCTGCCTCCCACTGTGTAGCACTGAAGTGGCAGTCTCTTTGATGATGGGGGACTGCTGTTATGTCCACCTGAGGCAATTTCTTTTCCATTCTGAACAAGTTCATCTTCCCAGGGCAGGAGCTTCAGCCCCCAACCATCTTGGGGGTCCTCTACTGAATTTGTGATGATTCTTTATTGATGTCATTCCTTTATGTTGGAGGTGCAGAATCCTCATATGGCGTAAAGAAATGCTGAGTAGAGAGGGATAATCCCTTACCTCAACCTGCTGGCTCAGCTTCTGTTTATACAGCATGCGATACTGCTGACCTTTGCTGCCAAGGTGTGCTGCTGGCTCATGTTCAGCTTGCTGTCCAGGCCTTTGCAAGCAAAGTTGTTCCCTAGCCGACCAGTCTCCATGGGCTGTAAGGCTAGTCCATTCCTTGTTTTCTGGGTTGCCTAAGAACGGAAGTAACAAGCTTAAGCTGCAGTAAAGAAGAGTTGATTTGTTTATTAGAAAACTTCTTTTTTAAACCATTAGCGAGTACAACAGTTCGCCCTGGAAGTCTGTGGAGCTTCCACTGAAGGTGTTACTTAACAACTGGTCAGACAAGCATCTTTTGCAAAATACATAATTACTTTTGATCCTGTCTTTTGTGAAAGTTCACTAGATTATCTCCCAGCTCCGTAATTCTGCTGTGTCATGCTAGATTATGTATCGCTGTTCTGAGGTACAGGAGAAAGCATGTCGGTTGTTTAAAACAAGGAGAGTCCTGAAATTCTTCTCTTTAATGAGAAATGGGAGAGATCATAGGGAAACACGAAATCAGATTCTTAGGCAGCTCCATCTAATTTGGGGAAGTCACTTAACCTATCCTCTGCTTTAGTTTCTGCTATCAAAACAATGAAAAGCAATACTTTTCATTTGAAATAGCTGGTTTTGAGGATGCAGTCCACTAACAGTTACGAGGTACTTGCTACTATTACAGTTAATATGTGTAAGCACATCTATATAGAGAGAACCCTCTATTTAAAAAAAATTACTGAAAGCAACTTTTATGAAGAAACCTACATAGGCAATGTGAAGCATAGATTTCACTTAAAAGCCTAACTTTTCATGTCTTGTAGAATAATGTAGTGTTGGCATCAAACTGCTAGCCAAAAGCAGTGTTAATATTGTATCAGTTTACCCTTCCAGGCCTACTCTTTTTCCCTGATTTGACAGTGAGAAACCTGTTGATAGGGTACCTGGTAATGGCTTACAACCAACAAGTCCACGTGATACCAAATGCCAGTTTTAGCATATTCTCTCTGCTACAGTTTGACTTGTGTAATTTCTTTTGTTCTGGTTCAGACTTCTTCTAGGCTTGTGATTGTCAGTTCATAAAAGCCCCAACTGGTCTTAAACCAAACATGTTTTATCCTTTTGCGGCTAACATTATAGCAGCATGAATTTCATGCTCTGTAATTAACTAGTTCAACAGAAAGGAGGTAGCATGTTCCTGCCTCATCTGGTTCAAATTAGGCTTGTCAAGTAAATTATTAGCCTACAGTATCAACAGTTGCAGAATGTCAGCCTGAATTATGCTTTAATGTCAAAAAAAGCAGTTAGAGTTGAAGCTCTAATTTTTGCCATACAGCTATGAAGCCTGAGACAATTGCGTTGCAAAGAGCTTTGAGATCTTACACAGGAAGATGCTACGGAGTGCAAAACATCTATCACTCATTCAGTATCTTGATACCACAAATAAGATGAATATCTCAGGATAAGTTTAAAAACAGGTTTTTTTTAGGGGGGCAGCAGTTGAGTTAAGCATTTGCTACCCTTGCCTCCTTGTTCTTACTCCTGCAGCAAACCCTGCTCTATGCTGGTGTAAGCTTTGCATGGCTGCAGTGGTAAGTAGGTCGGAGAACTGAACCAGAAGGAAAAGAGACAGCAGGAAAGAAGTTTTTTGAGCTGGCTGTGTTTCTGGATCAGGTTTGCTGTACGGCTACACAATAACTTGTGCCAATACAGCTCGGGAAGTGGTTGCAAGAAGAAAGAACAGCTGCAAACCAGGCGTAGAAGCCTAGGATCTTGCCTTTGCTTAAACCATTTAAAGCATTGCTACCAACAGATGTTTTTATAGCCTTAAGTCAAAAGCTTCCACCTTGTTTATAGGGCATGAAATGCGATGGCTATTTTGGCTCAACGTTTTCTGTTTATTAAATTCCTCAAAGCATTTAAGAAAATGAATTTAACTTCCTTAAAAGCAAAGAAGAGCAAGGTACATCATAAATGGCTGAAGGCAATTTTTTAAAGGCAACAATGAGACAGTTTCCTGATACTCTTACTACTATAAAAAAATATTCTTACTTTTTTAAAGAAAAAATTGTTTTTTGACTTGATCCATACTATGCTGGTAAAGTTTAAGTTCTTAGCAGAAAATGCCCTCTGAATATGAAGATATTTTCCATTTTAACTTGTTCTAAACAGAGTTCCACTTTATTTTTCTCTGTAAATCCTAGGCTATCTTTATTGGGTTTGGACCAGGATTCAAGTTTCGTACTAAAGTTGATCCATTTGAAAACATTGAAGTATATAATTTAATGTGTGGTAAGTACAATTGATGGGGGTCATCTTTGTTCAGTAAAACATAATATCTTTTGGGCATTATAAATCTTCTAATGGCAGGTTTTTAAGTGTCCTTAGAAATTTGTCCTTAAAACTCACTGCTCATTTTCACAAATAAAAAGCTGCTTGTTTTTTGAGAAAGGTCCAGCCTTCTAAATGACTAACGGCTGTTTAGGATCTACTGGTCAGGCCACCTTACATCTCTCCGCTGGTCACCCTGTGTACTCCTCTGGCTGCTCCAGAGCTGGTAGTTTGACTCACCACTACTAAAACTGACTACTTTACAAGACTTTGAGAGACAAAGTTTTACCAAAGGGTTTGATCCAGAAAGCACTTACAGGGATCACTGCACGTGCTTAAGATCAGTGGCAATATTCAGGTATACCATGTTTAAACCACGTGTTTAAATTCTTTGCTGGAATAGGAAATAGGCCATTGTCAGGAAGCCTGCCTTTTGCAGTCTTGCTTACTTTGCTGTCTTAGAATCATAGAATAGTTAGGGTTGGAAAGAACCTTAAGACCATCTAGTCTTCTTATGTCACAACTGATCTTGAACCTCCTCATGACCCTGATCTGTGTATTCTGCATAGGAGGGGTAAAGTCCTTACTGGCATCCCAGTGAAGCAGGTTCAGTAACAGATCAGATGTTTTTTAAGTGCAGTCATCGAGGTCTAGATTTTCTATCCTGTATAGAAAGAATAATAGGATGTGCAAAAGCCAGCACATTAACTTCCAGATAAGAGAATGAAGCAAGGTGACTTACTCAACCCTTTCCTTGTGCAGGGCTTAAATGCCTTCTGGACTGCAGAAAGGCATCTTCTTTCACATGTTTTTTTGGGCTCTAGTGTTTCTCTTGGAGGTGGCTGATTACATCTTCTTGCAAAATGTAGCCTGAGAAGAGAGTTTCCCATTTGTCCAACATCTCTCATCACTTAAAGTGCAAGCACCGGATATGTGCAACTGTCTTGTCTAAATAGGGGAATTTCAACTCAGGTTTTCCATGTTGCCAGACTTGGGGATTTCTGGGGCGTTGTGAATTCCTGGATACTCCACTTAAAATAATAGTAACGTAACCGTGTAATTTAGCTGCTGAAGTGGTGACCTGAGTTCCGGGACTGGTTCTGATTTGGTTTTTTGCAGCTTTGTGTGATATATACATTGGAGCAGGGACTGCTAGGATAAGAAAGGCTGGTTTATTCTTCCAAAGAAAAGCAGCTTCATCTGGAGGAATGTCATTTCCTCCAGCTGAAGCTGTTTTGTTTGTTACAGGAGTGGTGCTGAACTTCCCTTCCTGCATGTGTTCAGTTCCCCATGCAGGAAGGGAAATTCAGCTCTAACTCTTGTGCTGTAGGTAGGTGATCTAGACACCAGCCTTTTGGATACAAGTGTGCCTGCTGTGTTTTGAAAATATCTTATTTCGTGGATTCCATATGAGTTAAGTGGAGAAACAACAAAACTATGAATGCTAGTGTGGATTAAGCGTGAAACAGAGCTTGAACTCTTCAGTATTTTGAAGGTGTCTGAAATATCTCCAAGCATTGGTGGTAGGCAGCTTCCAGTTGTTTGAGTTACTTTAATGGCAGATTTAGGTATTTAGGGTAGAGATGTTTTTCTGGTTAGGCTCCTTTTGTGACAATTTTGAATCTTAAAATTTTAGATGCAAGTGATGTTTTAGATGTAAGCAGAAACCTGTGTTCTGCCTAGGCTCTTTTATGGCTTTACTCTTCAGTGGTGCTTATGTATTTAATATTCATAGAAGTAAAAAAAAATAATCCAAAACTAATAAACCAAAAATCCCCCAGACTTACCCCCCAGAGCTCCAATGTTACATAGTCATTAGTTTCATGTGTTTGAGACTGCCGTTCTGTCCCCCACTGCAAGTTTGGATTCTGGAAGTTCATTTATCCTCAGATGTCAACCTCTGCCACTTTCTTGCACTTGTTCTGTCTCTTATTACAAGCAGACTAATACTATCCTGAGCTCTAGCTGAGAACATGTGTGCTTTCCCTTTTGGGCATTGTGATCAGCAAGCAGGGCAGCTTTATTGACTCCCCCATCCTTGTAATCACAATAGAATCAGCAGTGTACAACAGTCTTTCTAATCCTGCTAATATCACTTGAATTCTTCATAGATTTGCTTGATTTGAAACCAGCCCCAAACAATGGAACTCATGGTCGCCTAAACCATCTGTTAAGGAATACTGTTTACACACCCCAACATCCCACAGAAACAAGCCATCCTTCTGAATGTTCTTTGGTGGGACAAAGAGCCTTCTCAGTGAGCCTTGGCTGCTCCTGCAGGACAGGGGTAAGTACTGAAGTTGTTAAAGTGGAGGCAGACAGCTGTGTTGCGTTCAAAGAATGAAACTCTCTGGATTCTCCTGTGTTTATTCACCAGCTGAGCAGTTCCCTATTGTTGGTTTCAAAATCAAATCTTGCCTAGGGTTAGGGGGTACCAGCCTTTATTTGTATATCCATTTTTGCAGTCTGCTTATGTGAAGTCATATTCAGGTCTACAGAGCCTGGAAGATGCCGTAGAAGCAAGCATTGATGGGGAAAGCATTCAGTTCTTGCTTGCTTTACTGAATTATGCTGAAATTTCCCTTCTGTGAATGTTGTGCATTTGGGCTGTGGTTTTCAAGACTGTAGATTTGCCTTTGGCAAAACCAGTTTGCTTCTGGAAATTCTCCATAGCCTCTAGCCAATAGATGTCACAGTTATGTACAGTGCAAGGCAGATGTTACACTCAGTACTTTAAGTGTAGTAATGGCTCATAATATGCTTTGTAGGGCACTGATACTTAGTAGAATCTCACTGTTTTTGCTTTATAATTACAGGGCTTGCCAGTAAAGGATTTTCACCAGCGTTTAAATCTCACTGAAAAAGAAGGTAAGAACTTTAGCTATTAATATAAAATGTTAAAAAAGGTAGGAATTATTAAAATATGAAGTGTTTGTTAAACTTCTGAGCAACTCTCAAGTACTTTTAAATATTTGCTAGGGCTTGCTATAGTTCTGAGGCTTTCAAACATCATTTTACTGAACCCTTTGTTCTACAAATAAATATGTATCCTACTCCATGTGTCTTTATGGCATACATATTATCTGATACTTTTGACTTTTCTAGCACTGAAGTAATGAGCATTTCAGGATAGGAAGCAAAAATGGTGTATAGGGAATGTGCATGTATGCACCTGAGAAGAAATCTGTGCAAATACTGACATCACAATGGCAGCATACTTTTAATGGAGCAAAAGGGGTATTTTATGTGGTTGAGTTATTATGTGGTTTGAAGCTTTTGCTTGTTTTATGTATGTTTTATTTCCATTTATTGAACATACCATGTTTGAGCTGCAATTTGCAAGGCTGTAGATGTGCTCCTGATTTGTAAAGCAAAGTAAACTATTTTGAGCATGTAGCAGGTAAGACAATAAATAAATCATGACAATTGTAAGCCAAAATAGAATGTAGCCCTTAGTGCTAATGCCTTAAAAGAAAATCAAGACAATTAGGCTGTCAGACAGAGAAATAGGCTGAGACCTTGCCTTGTGAGTGTTCATAAAACCTTGGTTTTTATGCAGATAAACTCTATTTGGAAACACCTCACTGTAGGTCTCTGGTCTTAAATGCCAGTAACAGACAAGATCCAGTGCTTGCTGCTTATTCAGGGCTGATTTAAGGCTTCTGTTGGCTTGTGTAATTTGTCCTGGTAGAAAGAGCAGATAGAGCTTTCTTGAGTCTTTTCCACTAACAGCACATCTCTTTAAAATGAATCCCAGAACCCTTTAAAAATAACTCTTTTAAAATTAACAATCATGAGAGCAGCAAGATGAAATCCAGTTAGTACAGTACAGCGTGCTTTCCCTGAAGCATGTAAGATGGATTCACAGGAACAGACTGCTGATGTGTAGGTGGATGTTTGAGTGCCTGCTGAACCTGGCTTTGAAGAAACATGGCAAGGCCAGGTACACAACCTACTTCGGTTCTTCTGTTTGGTACAAATAGGAACCTAAGTCTCTAAACCTATGATTCTGAAACAGTAAGAATTTGGCTTAGGTTATCAGTGAGAAGTGGCTTAGCACTAGTCTTAATAATTTCTTGAAGATGATGAAATTATTACTTTTAATTTGATATGAAAAGCACAATTACAGATAAAAGAATTATAGTAACCAGTTTAGATGATTCTTAGACTATTTAGAGCTTATTAGTTACCTCAGTTTGCATATTCCCTTATTGAATGTCATAACCTGACGACCTGTAAGAACAACATAATATCAACTGCATTTTTAGTCTTATGAAAAAATGTTTAGTTTTTCCCTGACGGGTTAGAAATAAATGTAATAATCTTGACATTTTCTTGTGTTGCGGCACTGCTGTGGAAAAAAACCTGCAGCATTCATTGCTCAATTTATTTTCCCATTTAAAACAATTATCTTGAAATTGTAGTTCTGCATAACTTGTGGATGGTAGTGACCTATTAAGTAGTCCATTAAGTAGTCCATTAAGGACTACATGTTTTTACACCTTTGTTATAATTCCAGTTGTGTAATGATTGGAAATACTTGCATTTTCAAAGGCAAAGTAGTATTTTTATTTTAACATATTTCCATGATATGCTGGTTTTCCTCAAGTTTGTATTTTACATCAGAGAATTTAAAACTTGAAAACCTTCTTTTTGTTTCCAGTTGGCAAAAATGTAAATATTCAATGTTTTGATGAAATGGAAATGTACCTTGTGAGTTAAAACCCCAAACATTCTACTGATATTTGACTGCAGCAAATAATTGCAAGAGCATGTGTTTCTCATGACTCTATTTTGTTAGTTGTTTTTTCTTTAAGATAAATGGCATTGACTCTAAAGTAGTTATGTTGCTAACTGCCTTACTTTTCAGGTTCTAATGACATACCTTCTGCGGATTTTCAAAAGAAAGTCTTTACTCTTCATTGGATGCAGTAGTTTGCCAACAAATAGCCCATGCCTTAGGCAAGGGTCTGCGAAAACGCCTGTGCAGTATTATGCATAAATATTTGGAGATCTCTATCTCTGTATACAAACTTTATAAAGAGAGGTGGTCCATGAGAAAGAGGGAGAAGGAAGGTTTTGACTATCACATTAATTATAAAGCAAGTCCTTGCACATCAGAAAATTCACCCAGTCCTTCACTGTATCGTTTATTTAAATCTCTATTTCTTAGTCCTGTAAATGTCACTTTTGCATATGACTTTGTGTTTTCTACTAAAATAGTCCCCTTAGCAAATTTCAAAACACCACAGTTGGTTTCTGTTCTATCTGAATGTTACTTAAAAGCAGTTCCCACATTGTATTTAAGTTGAAACACAAAGTCAACAAAGATTCTAACTTAGATCCATCTCCTGTTTTAAATGGCAAACTGTTTTGTTTTAAATATAAGCTTAATTTGTACAGCGTAAGTTTAAATGATTGCTTTATACTTGCTTTGTCATTTATTTTCTTAGCATAGAAACTCTTCCTTTGACATAAGAATGACAATCTTTTTCTTTAGTTACTGTGCCTTTTCTATTTGAAAATTGGAAATTGAGGCAAGCATATTGAGGGTGTATAAAAGAGGAAGATGCTTAATAACCATTATTGATTGAAGTGTAACAAGCACTATTTCTGCCACAGTTAAGAAGATAGAGGAGCTTACTTTGCCCTATGGACGGCCCAGGGTTCTGCAAAAGAGCCATAATTACTGTCTTCTTTACCATTACCGCTATGTGAGTGGGTACAGCAAGGACTACAGGATGTCTCTGTGGAGTGCATACTCTGTTAACAAAAATGTAAGTTATTCCTGAATGCTTCCTAGATCTCACAGTACTGTCTCCCAGGGAACTAAATAGAACCATGTGTGATAAAAAGAGGAATTGTGTATGAACTTTACTGTCCTATGTTAGTAAGGACTATCCTTGACTATTTAGTGCTTCTTGGAATGAGATGCAGTTTTGCCTTCAGAGGAAGCAAATCCTCCAGTAAGTGAGGAGCCCATTGCCTTTCATAGAGAAGCCCTATGAGTCTGCACTGGCTTACTGATTGGCAGTGTAGGTCTGCCATAGCAGTCTGCCAGTGCTGTTCTTAAAGTCTGGGCTCAATACCAGTTTCATGGTCTTAAAGAAGTGTTTGTAATGTGGCAGGGCCGTTTGCTTGATGCTAAATATATTGAGGTTAGTGGCATGAAGCTACCAGTTAATCTGAACAAGTGGCCTAGTGGAGAGAGATGGTAACACATCTTGTTGCCTCTGCTAGCCTGAATGGACAAGTACATTTACAGTGTATCAGGTTATCTTTAATGGGCACCTCTAGATTCTCATTTGGAAGATGATATTCTCAACTTGAGTAAAATGCTGCAGTTCACTTTGTTTCCAAAATATACAAAATAGATGGGAGGGCTCATTTTCCACTGACAAAAGAGGAACATTTCTTGCATTTTAGTTAACAGCCTTCATGTATTTAAAGGCAGTAGCAGCTAAATACTGAGCATTCTGCAGTCCCCCACACTGAAGAGAATTATCGTATGTCAACTATCTGTTTTACTGTTGATACTTTCTTCTCATCAATAGGACAAATGGGTTTCTGATACAGAAAATACCTCCAGTTGTTTACACAAGGATGCTCGTATTTCTTTTAATCATAACCAGACGTGTTTGTTTTACAACAATCATCCTCGCCTAACTTATGGATTCCTTTCTCCTCCAAGTAAGTATGTTGCCTTCATTGTACTGCATATCTGATTTAAATGATTTGTAATGTAGTAGGTATAGTCCATTATCGATGTTCCTGATAACTAATCAGAGTATAGAGCAGTAGTTGCTGAATTGTTGCTGTTCAGCGTATGCAAAAGAAGAACATTTTAGGCACTTCAGCAGTTAGTGGGTTGTCCGAGGTCACTTAGTACTTTCCAAAAGCTTTGGAATTTACCAGGTTTCTAAAGTGGCATCTCATAGAAGAAACTGGAAGGAGCATCTAAACCTTGAGTCAAGTCTGACAAGCTAGTAAATTGCAGATTCACTTTGTGAGAGGGGTGTTACTTGGAAACACCCAAAACGTGTTTGGATGGAAACATCCAAAGTAAAATTTAGGGATGTTTCACTTAATAAAAAACCTGTCTTGATAAGTTTATTTTCTATTTGAAATATACTGTTGTGTGCCATATATGGTCTTTAGTAAAGCAACTCATTACTGATCTGAAGAACATAGCTCTGATTCTCAAACATGTTACAAAATATTTTTCTGTTTGTAAGTGGTTATATTGTTTGTGAATTGTTGCTGAGCTGGTTTGGAAGCATTTTACATTGACTTTACTGCATAAAGTATTGAGTAGTATGTTATTTAAACATCCATATCAAATGTAATTTGTTAAGTTCTGTTAGAGCTCCTATTTTTATGCCTAGATTTAGCAGTAAGAGCAAATTGGTCTGACACTCATGAAGTGAATTTTACTCCCTTCCCCACAATTGAAAAGTCTGTTCTGGTATTTTTAAATCTCACAAAAACTTGTCCCTTGTACCTCTGAAAAGAGCAGTTGCTGGTGCTGCTGAGATTATTTATTTTGGATGGGAAACAGCATGTACTGAAGTTAGCACTTAGACCCACATCACCTTTGGAAAGTGAAGTTAGGTCAGCTCCACTTTAACTTTTACACTTTAACTTTTTACACCAGTCTTTTGAAGCATGAAAATGCAAGCTTAAAGTAACAAATCCAAGTAATTAATTGCTTTTTTTCGTTTTAGATTTCATGATAGATGGAAAAAAACATCAGTATGATGCCTTGCTTACTAGCAACATTGTGCCAATGTATCCCGCATTTAAAGGTATTTATTTATATGCGTATTTTGTATGCACAGTTGAATCTTAGAAAGGCTACTGTTTTTTTATTGTTTGTTTTTGGTTTTGTTTTTTTTTTTTGCTTGCTTCCAAACCATGCAAATGATTCCTGCTTCAACTGTCTCTGTAAAATAAGATCTCCCTCAACTGCGGGCTTCTTACCTCAATGAAAAGTTCCCAGAAGTAGGATTATCAGTCTTGTGAAAAAGGCCCACCATTGTGAGCTTATGATTCCTAATCAACTGGCGCATTACATGGGAACATAGTGCAAGACATTTAATGTCTGACATCTTACATTTTCCTGCCTACCTAAACGGGGTTTTAAACTGAATATGCTCTAGAGAACACCAATGCCATATATAACTGTGTGAGTTAAATTACTTTCAAATTCAGGGATGTCTTCTAAATTCAGATGGGGTTCCAGGCAAGAGTCTAGGGCCTCAGTATTATCCTGAAACAGGATAATAATGATGTCTCAGAAAAAATATGAAGACCTGGCTTTCTTGGGTGAGGGGGATTAAGCATTTTCCTAGTGAAAAAAAAAGGGTAGCATTTCCTCTGGACAAAGAAATGTCCTGTTTTGTAACAGAGTAGAGGTCGACACTTAACTGTAATTAAAAATATCATATTGGTACTTCACAGCTCATAGGTGTGGGTGACAAAGCTATCCAGGCCAATTTGGTAGTGTGGTAAGACACAGGTTGCCTTCCCTCCTCTAGCTTCTCTGCAATTTGCATTCCAGTGACAGAAATCCAAGGACACAAGGGAGCAGCATCACTATGCCTCAATCAGGTTTGTGATTAGGGTAGCTGTGAAACCACAATGTCAGGAGATACTGCAGTGCATGCTGCTGCCCAGTTAGATGCAACCTTTAAAAACTATAAACAGCTGTATAACTAATTATTTTCCTAGCTTATCATGTCTATTTATATTCCTGAAAAATCTGCACAGTTGTATTAACAGATTCTACCTTGGATATGTGTTTCCCACTTCCATTACTGTGTTTCAGTGTTATGGAACTACTTTCATCAATACCTGCTACCTGAATATGCTGCAGCCAGGAATGGTATCAATGTAGTCAGTGGTCCTGTGTTTGATTATGACTCTGATGGGCTCTATGATACTCCAGCAAAAGTGAAAAGGTGGGAACCTTTCCACATTCTAATGCTTTGTTTCTTTCTCCTATTAGTGGTCAAAAAGCAATTATGATATTTGTTATCGAGAAAAGCATCTTGTGGAGATGGGCCCTTGTCAGGTTATATCAGTTCAGAGGGACAGACAAATAGCCCTAAGCAGGTATGGAAGTGTAAAGCTTAAAAATAAGCTGCAAGCACATAGAGAAAATGCACCCTCAAAATGTGTCATCCTGAACTCTGAAAGTGAAGTGTAAGAGCAGATGTTGCATGTGGAAAAATGTCTGCTAGCCTGAAATCTTTTGATATTGACTCTAGGAGCAGACAAGGCAGGGGCTTGTCCCTGGTGGCATGGTTGGCACTTCCTGACCTGGCAGCGTTCCACTACAAAGCTGTGAATGCAAATAAACTAGTTAGCAAAATTGGTTCAAGCCAGCAGGCAGGTGGTTTTCTGGATTCTGGCTGAACTCTCCATGTACTGTGGATTCTTAAGGCATTTTTATGATAAATCAGTTTGTTATGCCTCATCAAACCTGTTACTCACATCAGCCTACAAGCCAAACTGAATTTGCAAAATAGTAATCTGGAATTTTCCTTCCTAAGGCCTAAGCTTTCTTTGGGCTAAAAAAGTGGATTGCTAAAACTGATACGGCAGAGTATACCTGATTTGCTGTCATTGTTCTTGGTGCAAGTATGGTTTGATGGATTTTACAGAGCAGTCTTTTGTGTTTCAGACACCCCAGTAATTCAGAAGTTCCAGTTCCGACTCACTTCTTCATTGTGCTGACTAGTTGTAAAAATACTTCTGAAACTCCTCTGGACTGTGAAGGGTCTCTAGATGTCTTGCCTTTCATTGTACCTCACAGAGAAGACAACAGTGAAAGCTGTGCAGTAAGTAGTCTATTCAGTCCCCACATACATCTGAAGTCAGGCTTGAACTTGTTTTGCTTTGAAATTAACTAGTAAGACTGTAAAAGTGTGGCAGTCTATCATGATAATCTTGAGAGAGAAAACAATAGTTCTGCAAACAGAGCTATGTTAAAGCCTGTATATATCTTCAAATGTGAAAATAGGTGTTCCCTGTTTAAAGAGCAAAACTTCGTGCTATCAGAGCAGAGTCAGAGTATTTAGAGACCATTATCAGTGTGATACACGCACAGACTTCTGCAGCACAAATATCCAGTCAACAGCTGAGAAGGATGAAGAACTTCTGGGATAAGATGAGTCATCCACAAAGGAAGGTCAGTGCTAGGCCAAATGTGTACTCAAAGGGAGAAGACAGATGTTCCTGAAGAACATCGGTTGCTTCTAGTTGAGACTTTGAAATTGTGATTGGAATGCACACAGCTATGCTCCACATAAGCCAGAACAAAGCATGGAAAGTGTGTTGACCTATCCTACAGCAAAGTATGACACAACTTGCTGCCCAAGTCAGGCTCAGAAATAGTTTTATCATAGATGTTGGATAGATGCTGGACATCACCTCCTATTCCACATTATTGCCAACTTCTTCTGGTGCAGCAACACGGTCTGTGTAATTAAGGAAGTAACAACAAGTATTAAATTCAGGCAAGCTTATAGCTATTTTTAAGTCAGTGTTCTCTGTTTGTTAGATGCTTGCCAACAGCGACTGCTTTCTGTTTCTATGAAATGTCAAAATGTCTTTTGCTAACTTAATATATATATGTAACAAAAAAGATGGTTTACAATCTCTTCTTTTCCTCCTCTGTCCCAATAGGATGGCAAATCTGAGTCCATGTGGGTTGAAGAGAGAATGAAGTTTCATACAGCTCGGGTCAGAGATATAGAATTACTTACTGGACTCAGCTTCTATCAAGACAGAAAACAGCCAGTAGCTGAAATTTTACAGTTAAAAACATATTTACCAGCTTTTGAAAGGGTCTGATTTTTTTTTTTCCCTATGGAATGTTGTTATCCATTTCACAACTGATTTGTAAATAGACTGGTTTTAATTAATGAAAACTTTTTTTTTTTAATAAGCTGGAACATTTATTGAACTTTTGACCAAAATGCCAGTAGGGAGGAGAGTGGGTGCCGTATTTCTATCTCAGGGACTCCTGGTGGACTATGTGTGAAACACAGGATGGCAGCTCCTGTCATTCCCACTTGAATGTGGTAGAACCATGTCCATTATTAAATGTTAACAGCCTTTAATCATCACAGTCTGAGACACGAACAAAAATGTTATCTTTTATATGCACTGGAGAGGGAAAAGTTCATAAAGCATGAATTATGATCAGTATTCTACTTTCAAATATAAATACTTAACAAATACAGTTCTGGGAAATAACTACATTCTTGGTGACCATTGAGTCACCATTGGTGACCATTGAGTCCTCAAAAGGAGTGAGGACTTCTCACTCCAATTTTCCTTGAAGCATGAATTATATCCTGAGCTTTGGTTCTTATAAAATAATGGTTCGATAAACTAATGCTAAGCTAGTAGGACTGGCAACTGAAACTTCCACAGCACAGAAAAGATGCCTGGCTAAAGTTGTGTTATCTGGGAAGCCTTGATATGTTGCTGCCCCCTGGTGTCTCCGACACCTAAGGAGAATTTGATGCACAGGTTGCATGTTGTTCAGTGCATCCTCAGGTTAAGCAGGAATTGTATGCATCAAGTCACCTGCAAATCACAAGAAATTAGAAATTAATTCAGGAATATCTCTGAGCTCCCAGAAACAATTATAACGATTCTGTGATCTTACTTCAAATTAAACTTCAATTCGCTGCAAAGATTTTGCTTTCTTGAAGCAAAGATGTCTTTCTCAATTTGGTGAATAATTTTGTCAGCTGCAGTTCTGAAAACCCATTTTTGTCAAGAAAAGGTAATTTTTGCCCTGAGATTGTTTCCTTATTTAGACTGCTAAGATTGTCATCTGTAATGGCACATCTCATCACTGAAGTAGATGCTCGCAGGCCATTCACTTGTCTGTTGGTGACAAATGACCAGAACAGAGCTGCATTTGTAGCTGTCTTTAGTGCACTATCATCCAAATTACAACTCGCATAAGTTTCCCATCTTGAATGCAGACATGGCCAGATGTAAATTCTGAAGAAGCATGTAATGAGCTTTCTTGGAAACTTTCAGGCTACACAATCAGCTGCTACAGGCACTCAGGAGTGTAGGAACTCCCTCCTTTTCCAGTACACATGCAATCACCTTCCTAATTCTCCCACTCTCTCTAAAGCTGATGAGCCAAAATTGGCTCTGTTTATATATAAAGTTTGGCATAGTCAATTACACATTTATGCTCTTATTTAAAGAGAAGAAAATACGTCACGCACAAGTATGTTAGAAGAATGAAGAGCCTGTGACTGAGCAGAGAGATATTTTGCATTACAGCTTGGTCAGGGGATGTAGAAGGCTGGATTCGAAGCCTGTTGGAAGTCAATAGAAGCTTTTCCATTAGCTTCAGTTTGAGTGGGCTGAAATCCTGGGACCATTTTTTTTCTTTTAACCAAATGTATTTTCTTTATCTTCTGTTACAAGCTTGATATTTTTTTTTTTCCACCTGAAGTAGTTTCACTGTGTGAAATTCAAATGTGTTTGTAGCAACCTCACATTATGATATGACTGTGACAGCATTATTCAGTGTAACTGCTTTGTAACATTGCCTGTGACCAATAAAACCATCGGAAGTAGTATGTTGTTCATGACCCTTTCTGTACCAAATGCTGCTGGCTAGCTGAAACAGTGGTGCAGATATACAGCACTATTTTGCATTATTTTGGAGGTGTGGGGAGGGAGTTGCTTCAATGCCTGCTCTTTGAGTTGAAAATAACTTCTCCTCCAGCTGGAATATTGAGGTTATTATTGAAAGCATTCATTGTTGAAGGGGAAGGTAGGAAGAAAGATGGTGAAGATGTTCTTAAATTCTTTTTAGAACTGGCAGTGTCTCCTGAATGCAAATGACAGATGTTAACATCTTCAGAAAGTGAAGCATTGCCAGTTAAGAGGCAGGCTAGCCTAGCTCTTGGGTAAAGATGGAACAGGGTAGGCTTCAAGCAAGTGATTGCTGGTTTGACCTAGGGAGGATTTTGGGAGGGAGAGAGCTGTGAAACCTACTATGGTCATCAAGAGAGGGTACTGGCTGAGAGGGTTTTGGCACATGGCTTTGCCAGAAATTGACAAGTCAACTTGACAAGGAAGAGAGCTATCCTGTTTTAAACTTAGTGCAAATAGTTTTGCTTCTTTTATTTCTTCATCTTTGCTTTTTTAGAAACATCTGTAGTAGTGGTGGCAGAGCACTCTGAATAATTGCTGGTGCTAGTCATGGTGTTGAGTGGCTGGTGACACCCCAGGATGGCAGATACTGAACTGTGGTTTTGAAGCCCAGTGGGCCCCAAGGAGCATGCTGTGGCCACTGTCAAACTCATAATTCTGGAAAAAAATTACAGCTTTGTCTATCTGGATGTAAAATATTTTGTTTCAGCTGAGGTATCAGAGCTCCAGTGAGCGTTCTTAGTAGATGAAGCTGGAAGGTGTCAGAGCAACTTTGTCATGATGTCAGCATTTTTCAATGTAACTGCTGCTTAATTTCAGCTGCTGCATCATCTGGCCTTCTTTGCGGTAAAAAAAGATAGTGGAGGAGCAGACTAAAGGTCATCAGTCTGGATGTGCCTACCAGTGTCATGTGTCACCAGGCCTTCCCAGGGAAAGCACTAGGAGATACTGTAAGCTGTAGTTGGTGCCCAACTATTACTGTGAAGGTGCTGACCAGTTTCCATGTCCTAAGCAATAATATTTGCTTAGGACGAGGAAAGGATAACTGAAGAAGGGAGTAATAGGCGCCTTCACAGACATTAAAGATTGTTTCAGGGTCAACAGAGTGAATCATGGAACACTAGGCTGGGAGGGACTTCAAGGATCATCTGGTCCAACCTTTCAAGGCAAAGCATGACCTAGACTAGATGTCCCAGCATCCTGTCCAGCTGAATCTTAGAAGTGTCTAGTGTTGAGGAATCCAACGCTTCCCTGGGGAGATTATTCCAGTGGCTGGCTGTTCTGATTGTGAAAAATACTCCTCTTGTGTCTGGTTGGAATCTTTCTAGGAGTAATGTGTGCCCATCACCCCTTGTCTTTTCCATGTGTCTCCTTATAAAAAGGGAGTCGCATTCTTTTCTGTAGCCACCCTTTAATTACTAGCTTTGCTGCTGAAATAAATGCATGTGGAGTTGTGCCTTCAGAGGTATTCAGGTGGTACAGATTTATATTGCTGGCTGCTCCAGTCAGTAACAGCAAGGTAATTAATTTGACTAATGTGTTACAGGCTTCTTGCTCTTATTTACCTCAGGATTCACTTGTCTTTTAAGAAAATGAAGCAATACCTAACTGCCTGTATTTGAGATGGTCCTGTTCTGGTAAATTCTCTTTTCGATGCATCCAGCATCCACTAAATGACTGTGTCCAGCACAGTGCACAATAGCTGTCTGCTAACGGCACCTCCCAGAGGCTGCCCTGTCTCATCCGGTGAGTGGGTGGCCTGGGCTTCTTCCTTTCCTTAGTCTGAGGAGGCTCAAAGTACAAAATTATCCCCTTAAATACAAGGTTATAAACTGGCCTTGGCGAGCTGGGAGGAGCTACCCCTCTGTTGCATGTGAGGGCACCCACTTTTCCAGGAAAATGAGATTCATGGGGATCAGGAGGCAAAAAGGAATGTAAGAGAAAGCCTAAATCTGTGACTCTGTGGTTAGGGCAGTCAGCTGGGAGGAAAGATCTCATTTCTGTTGCTGAGGTGGCACCTGTGCCAGGATGAGTTGCCAATCGTACCGCTTGGGAGTGGATGTTCAGGGGTGACAGCACTGTAAGGGACATCTCCTGCTGCATGGCCACAGGACAGCTGCTCTAACAGTTTGTGCCCACAGCAGCACTGTTATCGACAGCGGGAAACTATCCCAGGACTCAGGGTGAAGGCTTTGCTCAGCTCTTTTACTGCTGTGCAAACTGTTTGCCCCTCTGAGGAATTCAGGGACAGCGTCTGTGTGAGCCCAGCAACTTGCTAAAGCAGAAGTTTCCAAATATTTTTGTTTGGGTACCACCATCGCTAGTGGCAGCAGCAGCATCTGCTTGCCTTCGTACGCCTGGCAGCAATGTCTGGGAGGTGCTGGAGCACCAAACTGAGGTGGCTTGTGTACCATGAGCAGTATGTCTACTGTAATTTGGGAACCTCTGTATTACAGGAAACCAGTCCAGGTTTGGCATCCTGTGACTCAGACTCCCTTGGAAAGGAGTCCAGTGCCTCACTGTGAGTCACCACACAGGCCTTGAGACTCAGGAAAGGCTGCTATGGAGACCATGGACAAACTTGCAATAATTATGGAAGCTTGGCAACAGATTTTAGAAGATGCCATTGCAAATTACCAAATTCCTACTCAGCCACAACATGTGTTAAATGAGTGTTGCCCTTTATTGCAGGTTTGGTCCTTTCTATTTTTAGTTTCTCTGCTGAAATAAATACAGTGGGATGGAAAAATCTGGAGTTGCCCCAAAGCTCATGATCACTCTCACCTGATGAGAAGACAGTGGAAGCACCCTTTAGCCATGTCCCTAAGGCACATATGCATGGCTAAAAGTTGGCCTAGATGGCATGAGACTGCGTTCATGGCACTGGCAAAGCTGTTCTTCAGCACCAGTATCTGGGGCTTGAAAAAGGATTTGTTTCTGTCTCTTTGTATCTCTCTGTGCTGGAGGCCTTACCTTTGCCATCTGCATCTGTACCAGAGCTTTGAATTTCTGGGTGGTACAAAGGAGCTGCTTGAGGATGATGGATTCACTTTAAAAACTCATGCCTGCTGGCTGCATAAGATGGCACAGTCCACTACAAAATTTCAATTATACTCTTTATATAGTGCTATAACTAGGTTTAAAACTTTACCTAGCCTCTTTACACTGGAGAATGTGTACACTGGGCTCTGCTGTTCAAAATAAATTATTCAGGGAGGTGAAAAGCTTGATAATCACTTATGAAC